TAAATTTTAGATTTTGCACAACAGAAACCCCGAAAGAAATTACTATCATAATCGTAACCGATTCAAACAATAGCATACTTATGTAATTAATACCATGGGTAAATTTGATTTTGAGCTGAAAAATATTATTGTCATTCATTTTGTTTTACTGTCCAGCAAGGCCCCAAAATGTTTTGTGCCCAGGGATCCCGGCATGGTCTAAGACGGTCTTAGGCCTACTTCTTGGCACACTTCACTGTGGCACATTGTGGTTGCATTGATGAGAGATGAGGAACAAAGTCAACGCTAAAATTTGATAAAAACAATCTATGAACCAGTTTGTAGTATATCGTGTCAATGTTTGAACTCAATCAGTGCAAAAGGTTATATGTGTAAAACATGCATATTATAGTATAGAAAATACGAGAATTTTGAAGATTTGTCTTAAAAAATATGTTTTTGTGAGCTTACTTTGCTGTCTGAACCTTACGCGAAAGATCAAAATAATGAACTACGGCGATGTTATATGTCTATCTCCTAAGGGTAACCCACAATAATCATTTATATCTTTTACATAATAAAAAAAATCTGAGTTATTTACGAAGCTATTTTGAACAGTACAGTATTATTCCTTTTCCAATTACATAAATACGTTAGATACATTGTCAAGAATATCATTAAAATGAATATCTTAGGAGATATCAGAGATTTAAAATGTAGGAGAAGGCAGGTGGTAGGGGCCGGCAGGAGCAGAGCAGAGCGGGCCTATAAATTTTGTATAATTATAAAGATGTCCTGTAGTATCTTATTGTATGATTAATTACTCCACACTGACACCACATTAGTAGTATCTAATTTGCGCCCGTGCGAAGCCGGTGCTAATGGCTAGTATTAGTATAGATAAGATTTCTCGATGCCTCTTTTCTTTAACTATAAGGCATATGTCATCTATTTAGATCACTTTCCAAGCAATCTAGACCTTCTTTTAGACCCTAGTAAGTTCATAAACAATGATGTTATATTTTCCTTCATACAATTCAAAAAAATAAAAAAAATCCTTTCACATTTTAGTTCAATAAATAAGCCACGGTTTATTCTCAACGCAGACGAAGTATTAGTACAGAATTTATTTTATTTTTTTTACCTTCGTCAGTATCATGGCCATACTCTATTCAAAGTAAGCGTGTCGTTCACGTGTAACATAGGATTTATAGGGTAGGATACGAGTGACAAATATTTTGTTTTGTCGTGAGTACCTATACAAGCTGTTACAGAAAACGTATGGAGAATACATAAGGTTCGATAGAACACACCCTTTGAATAATGTAAAGCACTTAAAACATTTTTAAGGAAAATCTATAGTTTTAATGCTGCAACCTTATTTTGAAAAGGAAAATACATAATTTACATTTAAATTCCTACTAATATTATAAATGCGAAAGTAACTCTGTCCGTGTGTTTCGCGCCTAAACCGCTGAACCGATTTTATATTATAATTTTTTAAGACAACTCCCGTATTCGGAATATATCCTGTGTCGCGGGGGACTTTACAAACATACATGAACGGCCACAAAGAACACCCAGACTCAGAACAACAGTTTGTGGATCACACAAAGTGTCGTCCCATGTGGGGATCCTCAACACTCAGCGTAGCAGTGAGCGGCGTGACGACCGCTTAAACCACTACGCTATCCGTGCAGTCTAAATTTGGCAATTAAATTGGGCATGTAGATACGTACTTAGATTCTTAAGGAAGGACATAGGCTACTTTTTACCGCGAAAACCGAAACACAAGCTGACGCCGGGTAGAAGCTAGTTATCAATAATGTTAACATTTCGTATAGGTAACAAAAATTCTAATAATATTGATAGATGATGTTATGGAGGAACGGGTGTCATGTCCCTTCAGCACAAAGGGTCCGTCAACAGTTGATGTTGGGAAGTTGTATTACACTCGTATACTTATCGGCGCGAGGACTTTCATTGTGCGATACAGCATTAGTTGTTACTCCGTAATTCAGTATATCTTCGTCAGATGGCACTGAAGCATGTTTTACTGTATGTGGAAGTCGCCGCAATTTCATTCGAAAACTCACAAATTTATTATCTTCTGTTTGATTACTTAGTTTGTTCGAAAATAAAGGTTTAGGCGATAACCAAACGGGTGATGTTGTACCCTTATGTAGCTTTTACCCGCGGCTCGTGTATGTCGATTGTCTCGGTAAAAAGTAGCCTACTCGTACGTTACTCGCTGATAATATAGTTTTTCAATTATGAAATAATTTTTGAAATAGATGTAGTAGTTTCATCGTGAAACCGTAACAAAGACACAAACAAACAAACTCACTTTACATTTATAATATAAATAAGTAAGTAAGTATAAGTATGAAAGTATGGATGACCAATTTTTACTTTACTTGCCCACTTGACAGCCTAATTATATTAGCTTAGTTATTATTTAGCTATATGTATGTATGTAACGGAATCTTCGAACGTGATTATGACACACTTTTAAACGTCGAATTAAATTCATACTTCGCACACTTATCAAGGACCGATGACAACACAATAATTTGATAAATTTGGCCGATTATGTTTGTCCCAAATACGGTGGTGTTTTTTTCTACGTACTTGTTACTTTTTTAGTCTTAATAAGAAAATAATCATCATGAATAAATAAAAAAGCAAAAATAGATTACAGGATGTTTAAAAACTAAAAAAAAAACAACTTTTGTCACTAGTAGAAATAAAAAGTAGAAAATAATTTTCTATAAATTCAAAAAATCGTGGGGTGCTTTTCAAGATGTTTTATAACATAATAACTTTGCTTTTACCAATACCTGTCAATGAAATATTTTTATAAGAATTGAGATCTACCACCTCATGCAGTGTGTTATTTTTTTTTTAATTTAATTTGTTTCATTAGGAAACTTTTGTGCTTGCGATGGTCTCTGCTATAACTATTCTATTTGTATTCATAAATGTAAACATATTTATTGTATTTTAATGCCTACATTTACACATACATCTAATTATATCAATGGTCAAATATATTGCAATGTTTACTTTAGAAAATATATAAATCTAGTAAACCGCGTTTATGCACTCTACGTATTGACTTTCCGTCAACGCACGTCACGAATGCGTCCAAAGCATTGTAAGTGCAATCACCAAACAGGGTAAGCTTACTGTATGAAAGCGCTATAAGGACATTCTTCAAACATTAAATGATTTTAAAGTTTGAAGAATCAGAATCATGCGTATCTATGACTTAAAGCGTCGTACAGCTGGCAATCGCTATCCTCGTCTGACTAGTGATGTTACGTGCTAACTCTCTATTACTCTAGCTTAAATATTTACCATCTTTAACAGCCAGCAACCATAATAAATAATAATATATCATAATAAATAATAAACTGAAAAAAATAGCTTTAATTTGATATATAAATAATAAACGTACGTTATGAACGTATAAATGTCTCAAAATCATACCTGTTTACACCTGGCTGCGAAGAGGTGCGGCCGAGTGCGCAACGGCAATCGTGATTTTTCAGTCTGTATATATATTGCCGTGAAGTGGACGATATTTTATTTAAAAAACAAGTGAACGAATTTTTTTCTAAAAAATAAATTAACAAAAGTTTAATTAAAAATACTAGCGGACACATTTTGATAGGCAACCTGGTAGATATATATAATCTCCTAATCATAAATATGCGTGTGGGTTTTAGCACATACTCGATGAGTGCACTGATTCTGCTACTACGGATGCTAGACAACTGATAAAAATTCATATATACTTTTTTTAGTAAATACATACATATTATATATAGAAACACCCAGACCAAATCAAACGTTAAATGTTCATGCACACAAATGTTTGACTTAAGCGTGAATCGAACCCGTGGCCTTTGGCAGTCCATTACACAAACCACTACACCCCATCCGGTTGTCGCTTATATTGTTAATTTTACTGTTATCGATTGTAATTGCAATTTTATTTTTATTGTTAATTGACAATTGTTCATCTGCTGTTCACTTGAACATGTTATATTTTCATTAATATTAGCAGGTAATCAAACTCATAAATAGCGGCAACGCACTTATGACTCTCGAGTTGTATGTGTCCTAAGTGACCCGTCTGCTAGTTTGCCATAGAAAAACTGCTCTATGTCTTTTTATAAGGTTCATGACAAGAAATGGTAAGATCAAAAGAGTCAGCGCGCACTCAAGAGTAGAGCGACTGGTGCAACTGATCCAATTTAAGTGCCTAGGGAAATGTAACCAATAAACGAAAACAATTTCCAGGAAGCAAATTAAATGTTGATGGTGCGCCTATTAAGAGCGCTGGGTTGCGCCGCTGGTGTTAAATTATTACAATACAAACCTATTTTACATAGGTAGGTGTATAATAAATTTCATGCATCTCACACACGGCAGTCTTATCTCAAACTAAGCAAGCCTGTACCACGGTATCAAGACTGCTGATTGTGACTGATTGACATTTTGTAGTTAAGCTACATCCGGACACAACAAAATTAAATAATCGTGATCAACACATAAAGTGAGTCCGCAAAGAATTATTTGTGCTGGGTGACGGACGAGAAGTTAAAAAATTGAGTGCTGAAAGACAATCTCCTTCTACTCTTCTAAAGTGCAAGGGCTGGCCCTTGTAGCGTTGGCGCTAGAGTTTTGTTTATAGATCTTTATGTCCACGTGGCCAAGGTTAAAACTTTGACTAAGTTCCGTCTCAGATCGTGGTCATCACAGAGTACAGCAATATTACTAGAAAGTGGTCAAAAAATTAAAAAAAAAACAGAAAATGTTGGGTTGCTGTCGTCGCAAAGGCTATTTTTCGGTTCCAGCATATCGCATACCACTGTACAAATGTAGAGTAATGAATAAATAATGGAATTGAAAGAAAGATTAATGTAGTGTTCTGGAATGAGGGATTAAGACAAAAGAAAATATGCATTGATGTCATTTAAGTATTTAATTCAATAAAAATATGAACTAGGTGCTTACATTAAAATATCAGTTGGCAAACAGTTGCCAGCAATAGGTGGTCTTATGCAGTTGATAAAATTTTCCATTTCCACACAACATCGAGGAGAAGTTGTATTTTCCTCTATGAAGCAATTCTCTTCGGGAAGCGGGGCATTAGATCTATCATATACGCCTTTTCTTGGGTTCCTTTGGCAATGATACCGACATGAACCGCTCGAATCGCTAGAACTTGTATAACCATTCATTTCATAGGAAAACAGTGGCAAAACTGATGTATTTGAAGTCGATTTTTCTAAATAATTTACATTTCTTTCTGTACCCTTATCAGAAGTTGATATTGATAATTCAGTTCCACATTTTTCGTCTTTTACAATTTTAACATAGTCACCACGTAAAACATGGGTAGTGAAGAAGCACATAGGACAAACTAAGTTTTGACTATTACAATCAAATCTATCGTAACCTTTTATTGTGCTAGGTACATAGTAAGGAGTAACATGACATTCAGTTTGAACCTTTGAATGTCTTAAATTTCCTTTTAGAGTTGCAGCAACATGTGACAATTTTCGTGACCTTCTAGTGTTCGATTTATTGTCATCAAGACGATTACAATTATTGGAGCCACAGGATACATTAGCCAGTAGCTCTTTCAGAGCCCGAACTTCAACTGAATCCGATTTTGAATGCACCAATAAAGGAGATATAGCCGAAGTATTCATTGTTGTAAGTAACAACAGAATTTGTCTTCAATGCTTATTGTGGGTTTTAGCACGCTAGTTCATATTTATAGTCGACTTATAATAGGTCCTATTACGGCATTGTGCAAATAATAAGTACCTATATCATGTTCTAGCTAGGTAATTCTAAAGTCATCTTATAGTGAAAATAGTTTTTAAAGAAGTAAGAGCAGCTATGGTACTTAAATTTTGACCATTATATTTGATATTTATTTGTCTTTATGACATATTCAATTACATGCAAAATAACATGCAAAAGTCACCTAATTTCTTTTTTCGGTTTCACGCAAAATATTCTGTTCAATAAAAAGTTTGTAAGCATGTAATAGATACAAAAAATTACTGTAATCTATTTGTTTATTACTTTGATATTTCTTTTCGACAGTTACAGTTGCTTGAAAACGTAAGAGCAATTCTCCATCACTGCCGTCACAGATAACTAAACGACATCGGCGGTACCTAGATACATACTTACGATTTAAAGATGAAGTGATCGTACAAACGATTAGGCTAGTATGATGGTGACAAATTTGCAATGGAGAGACGGCTATAGCAAAATTGTGTATTGCTGCTTCGGTGCCGTTATCTCATTTTCAGTGAATCTGCATTGACGTCAGCAGTAGAAAAATGTTCTAAAATGCCTAACACTAAATCATTATAATAAGCTCTTTCTGGCTGCTACCTATGTACAATATACACGCTCAGCAAATTCAGTGCATTGCAGAGAAATTTGCGTGACGTCAACGAAGATAAATTGTAATTGAAATAGTGTGTATTGGTATACCTAACCGTATGAAATATACTCACCTTAGATCACAATCAAGCATACTTTGTTCTCTAGACCCACACTAAGTATAGCTTGTACCACAAGTTCTAAAACAACATTCATATCACAAAAACTATTAATCCGAACAAATAAACTTAGGTATCCAGAATTACAAATAAGTATTCGTACTGAGCGGACCTCGAACACCTCCTTAGCCGTGGGAGAGTACATACTTCGTCAGATATGGACCGGCTTTTGCTTTTTTGGGTACTCTTAAAGGGTGACAATACACTTGAGTCTGTTGAGTTGCACGTTATTTTTTCACACATGGCAGTCCGATTCCAAACTAGGCAGAGCCATGTAACCAAACTGCCGATAAACATATGTATATTTATATTTTTAAATACATACATATTATAGATAAATTACACCCAGACACAGAACAAATGACCGTACTCATCATACAATATTTTGTTCTGGGTGGGAATTGAACCCACGACCTTCGGCTCAGCAGTTAGGGTCACTAACCACTAGACCACTAATCGTTTGTTATCAAATGACCGGGCTGCTCGGTGCTTAAACTAGTAATTAAACTTTTTGCTGAGTCTACTTAAAAATGAGGTTCAAGGTATCTTAGGACCAAAGAGTAGGCATAGTGGCCTACTCTTTGGTCCTAAAATAAAGACTTTGGTCTATGACTTCACAGATTAAAAGGTGACTTCTTTTTGCTTCTAATGGTTGCTACGTAATATCAACAGTTTTTTCCAATTTATTTTTACATTTACCATGACATATCTATAATGAGAAATTGCATTATCGCTATGGCAAAATGAAAAAATGCCTTCAGAAGACATGCTTTCTATCAACTGAACATGTGAGGATAACAAAAATACGATGCCCAAGTTGAATATTCCAAGCGATAAATCTGATCATAATCCACCCAAGAGAATACTCACTTCTAAGGTATGTTTAATCTTTTTTGTTCTTTTAGGACATCAACACCTCCGAGATCTTTGGTGTGTTACTTTGTCGGAATAGAAACGACTAGATACACGATATACACACACATCGCAAGCCAAAGAAGCGGTCTTCCTTATAAGAAGACCGCTCATACTTGCAAAAAAGCAAGGCGATGGTCAAGTAAACTTGATTTAACTCCTACAAGGGCGTACATACTACTATTATGTATTTAATATGTAGGTATTTTACGTCTTTAATTTTGGTTGAAAGAATAACTCATAAAGTATGCTTATTGCGGAGGTATATCGAGTATGCCTCTTCTAGATGGAATATGGCTTCTCACAAATAATAAAGGCCAGTTCTCAGCAGTGCGGCAGTTATCAAATTAAATTAGTTTAGTAGCTGGTATTATTTTAGCCTTTCTGCGACTGCGTAAACTGCTCATGCGAGGAATGTCCTGACGTCTTAAAAATGCTCTCAATCACTGTCACTACCTGTCATTTCGGTTCTAAGGTGGTCAAAGCCCCCGAGAGTGATCCATGTGAGTCAACAAAGGCTGTGAACCCCCTCGACGTAATAAACCCAAACAGGAGCTGTAATTGTGACGTGGTGGCGCGAGGAATTCGGGACCATGTACACATGAATATTGGGATGTCAGAGCGCCGCGATGAAATTAAACGGCTCATAGATGAATGTGACGCACGATGCGATCAGAATTGTAAAGGATCACCAGAGTCATACTCAGAAAGTAAACAAGACACTGATAAGAAAGCCGCTGATAGTAAGAAACCCGCTAAAAGTAAGACAGGGGATAAAACAAATATATGCAAAATTTGCGGATCGGTATCTAAATGAGTGTTCCTAATAGAGCATAATCTTTAAGTTCATTAGTATACAGAAGTAATAAAATCTTATAACACAATGTAGTTGTTTTATTGTGGTAACTGTCAACACAAGTAAGACAACATATTCAAAGAATTGTAAAAAAATAGCTTCGCCTATTTTATAGGTTTTTGTAAAGTGGTTAGTTTAGAGTGGAAGTGAGACGAACATATTGGCCGAGTTTGCAAATATCACGAAATAGGTGTAAGATCTAAACCTATAGACCCGAATAATCGTACTGTTTTAATACTTTCATTCGGGTATTTCTTAAATTTTAACACAAAAGAAACCTACATGGACATATAGATAAAATAAATTTCAAATTAATTAGTTTATGATTTTATTTCTTGTACTATTTTTATCGTCACTTGTTAAACTTGGTAAAACAGATATAAAAAGAGTAAAGCGAGATACTCTTAAACCTCTATTTAAATATCCTATTTAAAATATATACAGTATTAAATTTGTTCAGTAATATTATTCTCAGTGTCTTTATTATTTTCTTCTTCCTGTTGAGACTTCTTGAACTTTTCGCACAAATAGTTCCAATACTTGCTTTCGAATTTTATCGTATTTGCCAGCCAAGCCTGGCACAGCTCCACAGCTCTAGTCCGCATTATGCAAACAACTAGTCTCCCCTTTCTTTATCGCGTGCGTCACAAATATCAATGATAAATGCTAACAAATACGGCGAACGACACTTGTTCTTGTAAAGTTCTTCACAGAATGATATCACTACAGCGTTGCCACTAATACTTCGTTTGTCATGTAGTAATACCCCTCTCAAATAGTTCCATGCACTCTCGTTGTTCTTGATAAATTTGATTTTTTCTAAAGCGTAGCAGATTTCCTTTTGAACATTCAGGTCTGACCAGCCTAGATGATTGTTAACGACGAAGTAACGCTGGTTCCACGCTGAGTTGTTGCGCACGTCTTCTGTGATAAGATGGTCAACGAAATCCATTTCCCGGTCATAAAGCCTATAATATAAAAAAAGTGTAAACATATTTTAACATAGCCAGAATAAGGTATGTACTAAAGGAAGCTAAGAAAATGAGAATTAGGTAAAATATTGGATATCCTAACTATAATATTATCAGAGCACTAGCTGACCCGGCAAACGTTTGGCCATATAAATTATCAAAGAAATCCAACGTAATTCGGATATTAGTTCTTACAAAAATACTAAAATCGCGTTTAAATGGCTCAAAATTTTTCGGGGTTTACTAGTGTGGCAGAAGTTCAAAACATGTTTATTCAATTCTGGGTGGAATTTAATAATATCTGGCGGAAGGTTAAGGTCACACAATGACGAGACATAGACAGGATGGGGCAATTTCATTCGATTTTTGCGTACGTAGGTTAAGGTTGCTAGATAATTAGGTTAGACGCTGTTTAACAGTAAATCTATTTTTTTTTATTATTATTATGTAGCGAATGGTAGCTATATATAATAAAATAATTCCTAGATTTACTGTTAAATATGCGAAATAGGATCTTTATGCATCGTCTGAAAACAAGTTAGAGTTAGTAACAAAAAGGTGGAATGGACGAGGTCGGGAAGATGCTTTTTTATTGCAAAATAACTTTGAAACCCGGTCTGGCACCGCACTTGCTATGTACCGACATCGGCCTGCCCAGATGTTGCTTGCATTCTTAATTAAAATGAATTACTCGACAACAAATGCACGTACAAGACTTTATTTTATTGCATTTTGCGTATTTCATGTTGCGAACCATGAAAAGTGTTTTTTTTTTTTGTTATAAGAGTAAAATTAATTTTTAAAGTGATAACTTCTTTAGGCGCGTTGGCCATTTTTGAACAACAAACAAAATAATGTATTTCTTGAGATGGATAAAAACCATTGAACTTGCGACACCTCTGTATATAAGTATCTACATATATTGGCCCCGTTTACACGAGAGTTGAGTTTGGATTGAAATACATTTATAACATAACTATATATAATATAAACATATATTGTGTACAATATAGAAGAGAAATAAGAATATATATATTCAAAAAACAAAAAAAAACCTGTTATAATCAAAAAAACTTCTGTCGGCACACACGAAGTGCCACTGTTTTTTTTTTTATTATTTGACTTACTTAACGTTTATGTTAATCCCTACCGATTCCGATTGGTTTTATCAAGGTCCATTTTCAGCAACAGGATTTACAGCGTTCTAAATTTCAAAATAACAATGTTGCAATAGATCGCCAAACTGCTTTTGAAAAAGGGGACGGTGCATTTGTTTACAATACTCATACCTATCTAATATCCAAATATCTTATGTATCTTTTTGTTTTTCGCTTTTTATAACTTTGCGCCAGTTGTCGGTAGACTTTTTTTTTCATTAAAATGCATAATACCTACGAAAAATCATCAGCTGAACAACTTTTGTATTTAACTTTTTTCGCTACCATTTATTTTCGAGATATTGCGAGATAACTGAAAAAAACGTTTTAAAAGGATTTTGCAATAAAAAATTAGCTTCATTTTTTATTATTTTTTATATATTTTTATTTTTTGTCATTATGTGGGCACCTTTAGTTTCCGTCAGATTTCATTAAATTCCGTTCACAATCGAAATGAAAACCTCTGACACCCCGACTATTCTCGTTCCTACGAACCTACGAACTATTCTCATTCAACCAACCTATTCAACCAACCAAATATACAACAAGAACATGAAAATCGGTTGAGCCACAAACACCGTGACAAACACGTGACAGATATATATATATATAATTATATTAGGTTTGAGTTAGTTTATCAGAGGCAAATGTGCAGACGGCTCTAACGCCACCCATGAAGACTTGAGATACGCTGCTACCCTTTGGAGTGCCTCCGCACCATAATTAGGCCCTCCCCCAATTCTGGGTTAATACTCAGGTAACCCCAATCGGTAAAAAGCAAAGAAAGAATTGCTTAACATTCTGTGAGGCCATGATCACTCCGGTCGAGTTGTTGTTCCACTTTCGAGCTAAAACGATCATCATAAAACTGCGACACACAGTCAAGGGTACAGAACGAGAAAATGGGTATCTTTCATAGATAAGATACCTAAATTGATTGACAAAATCTACATTGAATTCAATTAAGCTGTCCACGAAGATGATTTGAAATATATTTTTTATTTAATTACTTCATTGTGAAAGAAGAAATCTTTAGAGAGCTAATCTAAAATGCGTATCTCAGTTTATTGTTTAGTTAAGATTTAGTGTTATTAATGATAAGTGTTTTATAAATATACTATGCACGCAAGTACAATCAAAGAGATTTTTATACATCAGTACCGGAACGGTAAACAGCCTTAAATTACGTTTGTTATATTGCGTTAGATACAAGCACAGGATCAGGTCTCATTCAATTTTTGTTGCTTGGAAAGATTGACAGGTCTTATGTGAGGGCCATCCGTAAATTACATCACACGTTAAATGTGATAGAGCATAGAAATAGGTATAAGCATTGAGAGAACACGGGGTACAGCTGCCTATAAGCGATAGCGATACAGGCAACGAGAGAGATGGATGCCCGATAGTCCATCGTCTCTGTTTAACTAAGCTACGATTGGCTATCGTGTAGTGGGCAGGGTTTTGATCGTGGAACATCAAAACCATGCCCACTACTCATCGCGGGAGATTAAAATATTCCCCAAGTAGTCACAGAGCTCGACTAGAAAGAGATAGAGGGAACTATCTATTATCCATCTCTCTCGTTGCGTATATTGCAAGATTGGGGCTCTTGTTTAATCTATGCTTATATCCCTATGGGGGAGAGTCGATGAAGTGTGACATTGTATAACAAGGGATGGGAGGGGTTCTAAGTTATGTAACCCCATTTTAAAATCTAATTTATTTAAGTATTAAAGCGCGAAATTTGAATTATTAACAGCAGTATAATCCATTGTTTTTTGTTTTGTTATTTTTTTATGTTTGGTTTGGTGTTGATTTTATGAAAATATTATGTAAATGGAAATAAAACTAATTTCTGGATGTAAAATTTGTGTAATAGGGAAGGGGGTCTCACAAATGTGAAATTCGTGTGACTTAATTTATGGATGGCTCCTTAGGTTCCATTCCTCTTAGGGATGAATTTTCTAAACTGTGTTACTAGTGTTTTCTAGTCACTTGAAAAATACATGTGCGATAGGAAGATATTTTATGTAACTAAATAAAGCAGATGACAAACAGCCTTTAATAGTCCATTGCTGGACATAGGCCTCTCTTTAGAAAGAAGGTTTTGGCCTACTATATGAAAAGAATAGAGTTGGTTGTTAGAATTTAACTTACCCAAAAGTTTTTATAGCCCATTGCCTGTGTTGCCATGCATGATAATTCTTAGGATCTTGCATGAGGGCATCTCTTGTAAGTTCCAACTCTAGCGAAGGGTCTTGAAGCCATTCTACCAAGACTCTTCGATGATGCCATACCTAAAAATAAAGCAATACAGAAAAGTTTAATGAGAGTTTAAAGACTGGTGACAAAAATTGTATTAAGCAAACCCAATGTCAATCAAGATTCTAATATTTATTACATTCAGACGAATTATAATTAATCATAAAGACATACATTTTTTTTTAAAAGACAACTCCCGCACTAAGAATAAAACCTATGTCGCGGAGGACTTTACAAACATACATGAAAGGGACACATAGTACACCCAGACTCGGAACATCAATTTGTAGATCACACAAATTGATGTGCAAAGTGTCGTCCCACGTGGGGTTTGAACCCACAACACTCGACGCAGTAGGCCGCACTACGCCATCTGTGCAGTTAAACATTCAAATTTAAAAAAACAGCTAAAACTGTAAGCGAAATAAATAATGCTTATTTGAATACACTTGTATGTCCCGAAACTCATCTATGTGGTCAAAAATATACTCATTTGTTATTATATATTTTAACAGATTAACTCTTCACACGCCATCCCTTTGATATGCCACTACACTGTAAAGTGCTTTCACCGGTAAGCACTGTACAGTGTGGTGGCATACCAGAGGTACAACCACAAATTACCTATCTCTTGTACGAGTATAATGCAGATTATAGACCTTACAATTAAAGTAATAAAAATTCCTGGCGGTAACAATCATGAAAGTCAGATCGATGGAGCTACAACCAGAGTGATATAGCTAGCATCTCTATCAGAATAACACATTAATCATGGCTTTAGGCATAAGTCTGCTGATGAACAAAAATTATACGTAAAATTAAATTAAAATAAACAATTTAAAAAGGAGGATGAAGATAAGAGTTACCTGATAGTTTTTAGGCGAATTCTTTATAACAGCTTCTACATATTCTAATTCTGAAGTCAAATCTGTTCCCAGGGATTTCAGTAAGTCTCTTCTGCAATTATATAAGGGTCAAACATTAAATCGTAACAATATTTAGCATTACTGAGTTAGCTGATTTTAACTGATCAGTAAAAATAGTTATTGGGTTGTTTGTACCAAATTATTTGTTTTTGTAAAACATTATGTAAACACCTCAATAAGTTGAGTTTTCCACAAACCAACTTACAGTTTGAGTTTTTCACAAACCATCTTAACAGAATTTGGTTTGTGTACGCTTCAAAAACTCAAAAAAATCTGCACCAATTGAGCTAAAATTTTGATATGAAATACAAACTGCTTCAAAGATTGTTTTCATGATAATTTTCTGCTAATTTTGTTCTTCATCAACTAAAATTAAAATTCAATCAAAAACAAACCAAACTTAAACAAAAATGTGCTACAGCGAAACATGGCATTTCTGGTGTTCTAAAAAGGAGGCTTTACATCAATCTTAGGAAAAAAATTGTATCTATGGTTAGTGTGTAGCATGTTTATGCAATTGGCTACTATTCAATTACAATTATATTAATTAGCTATTGTGCAAGTGCTTTACAGTGTCTCTATGTTTAATAAATTAAAGGTTATTTTTAACTGACCTGTATTGCCAAACAGTATAATTGGCAGGATTCAGTTCTACTGCATCTTTTGTAAGGTGCAGAGCTCGTTCTGACTTTTCATTATTTTGGAGGATCGCTCGGAAATAATCATACACATCAACAACTGAAACATAATAAAAATATTTAAAGTTGTATTCTTTAGTTATGATATTGAATGATAAACAGGAATGGATTATTTTCTAGTGATGTCATTAAAACACTTATGTATTTAGCGTTACATAAGTATTAAATGTTATGTATTGTTTAACTTTCATCCATTTGAAAGAGAAATTAAATGAATATTTACTTTCATTAATTTTAAGTTCAATATTATATTTTTACCTAAATACAAAATGATGATTGTGTGGTGGAAATGTTTTTTTCAATACAAGGGGCAAATAAGTAATTGGGTACCTCATTTGAAGTTACTACTGCCAGACATGAACGCTTGCAACTCAAGAAACATGTTGCCAGCTTTTAAGTAAGAAGTACAACCTTTTCTTGAAAATTTGAACATCATAAATGTTCTAAAATACTGAACACGGGCTAGTGTTTCAATTACCAAATGTAGAGGTTATTCTTTGCCATCCAACTATACTATACCACCTCACCTGACATGTTTTGCAAGTAATTTGATCATATATTGATAACCAATAAATAGTCAATTATAACCAGTTCTTGAGAAAATTATGTCACATAAAATGGTTATTCTTTCCAAATTGAAGGCCATCACTTGTTGAGACATAAATATATAGATATATATGTGTGTTAAGTATATAGATTCAAAGAAACAATTATGTTTAATTAAAGTTCTTAAGTTAGTCTCAAACGTTAACACTAAGATACTCACATTTTTCAGAATGAGCTATAACCACCACGAAATTAGGTCCTTCATCTTCCGGAACTGGTGCAACATCTCGCCATTCAGGACGGTCCTTGTAGTAAGTCCACGCAACATCACTGTCCCCGCTATCAGACATACTTGAAACGGCTCTAGTTTCAAACTAAAAGTTGGTTGCAAGACTATTTTCTGTTTGCTAAAGAGCTAATGCTAGCAAAGAAGATAATACATGTGCACACAAGCTAGAACGACGTGAGTAAACAACTAACAATTATCTAGGTCGAAGGTGTTAACGACTTAATTAAACATATTTTCACGTATCTATATTTAAATACACAAATAATTTGATGTGTGGTTTAATATCTAGGCAAATGAAAGAACACTCGGATCGGAACACCGAGCCGAGCCCAATGACAACAATTTCGTGCAACAATGACACTATGACATGACAGATGATAGATACAGATTAGGCTTTACCAATAGACGCAGGTGGAGGAGTTTCACGATCAAAGAAAAAGAAATACTGCATAAATAAAATAAATAAATAATTATAATTGCATAAGTTGATACAAAATGCTATGCAATAGCTTTACCGCGGCAGTCCCCGAGTGCCACACGTCTTTTATTAACATATTTTAAGTATACAGGGTGTAAGGGACATCGTAATGAATACTGCAATAGTGTATTTAGACCGTGATTCTGAGTCGAAAATCAATTGAATTTTCTGCCGGAAAATTCATCTTTTTTTTTTTAATTTTCCACTTTTTTGGTTAAAAATGATATCACAATGAGTAAACAGAAACTGTATATCAGTTCATGTTTTAAGAGCAAGACAAGCTAACTGTTTTATTAAAAAAAAAATTGTTAATAGAGTTCATATAAACGACAGGTATAATAAAAACAGTTTTAAGAATAGTGCATAACTTCGTTTAAAACTATTAAATATCAGATTATAATTATAAATAAAGGTATACGATACTTTAATGTGATCATATGGATGCTATAAACATCGACATAATTTTTTAACTCCATACTAAGGCAGATATTGAATGTCAGACTCCGAATTTCTATCCCTAGGGAACATTTTCCTCTTTTATGTGTGGAAGACACACTTTGTCCTTTGCTGTATTCCTAGGAATGAAAGAAAAATGATGCATTCACTTGAGTGACCAATCATCAGTCTGATATACCTTACCGCCGCTATTTTTCTGGCACGTAATCACACACATCTGACAGAGTCAGATCAAAAGAACGCCACCAGCGTGGACCTAATAGGTATGACGGTACGCCTAAACAGTATCTTGATGTAGCAAGGTTACTTATTATTTAATTTTGGGCACTTTGTGAGAAAATCGATGCATGTCATTATCTGCCCAAGCATGTGATACGATCGCCCTACGACACGTATTATAATACACATTCAGAGGCTCTGACTAACTTGGGATCAGACTGCCGTGTGTGGGATGTGTGAAAATATTATTATTATTATTATATTAGATTTCTCAAAATTATATTTTATCGTATATTTCTTTGCCTTGTTAATTAGTAATGACAATGAAAAATGAGTGTGTTCTGGCTACTTTATATATTAGTGACGTGATAATTGTAATAAATACAAGTAAGAAATGGAATTGAAACTTTTATAAGATAAACGCTCCATGCGGCACAACTCTACTTTTACATATGGCTCTCACTAGTAGTTTGCTACATCCAACCACTAGTGAGAACTAGTGGTTAGATGTAGTAAAGTAGGGCAGTAAGTATGAAACTGCAACTTTAAGATCCGATTGTATTCATTTAAGTTAAATCAGCATCTTTTGTGATAATCGATAATATCTAACGTTGTTGTGAAAGTTAGATAATTCTTCTACTTAGACTTAAAATACCAATGATCACATTTACTGTTAGAAACTTTACACAAGAGATAAGTTTTACATACGTTAAGAAATACATGAACCAACGAAAGATTTTTGTATGTATACAGGAATCTACATACCTTTGGATTGACTTTTTAACTAGCTTAGCTATAGGTATCCCATCCTCATCATCAACCTATAGCCGTCCACTGCTAAACGAAAGCCAGCCAAAGAAACAAGCCAAAATATATTTAGCAGCAATTAGAGCATCTGTTATGCTTTTGACTAAGTATGTTACGAAGATGTATCTTAAACATTGTCGATAATTAGCTAAAGATTTTCTGTGATGCCGAACCTTAGCTTAAATCTTAGCTTAAGTCTTAATCTTTGCTTCTGCATTCGAATTTTCTTCAGCAATAGGTTACTTTGTTACACTGTTTGTTCCTGTGACTAAATTTCACCATTGTAGAACAGGCCATCCGTTGTGTGACTTCCAAATGAGAACTCAACAAAAGAAATAAGTGAAACCAAAACATCATATTATTAAATTTTATTAAAAATACCAAAATGTAGGTACTAATGTTAACACTTAACAGGTAATAAATTGAGAGGAATCTTTCTATGCATTAATAAATTATAAAATACTTCAACAGATAATAGTCAACTTTCATGTTTACCAGCCGTAGGTGAGACCAAGTCCATTGGTGTAAGTCATGTGTGATACCGCTGATGCAGGAGAATATGCCACTCCAAGAAGACCAGCAGTTGTAGCCACCTGATAAAACATACATTTTTATAAAGGCCGAAATTACTAGTATTCCCGTTAACCCCTCGGGCTAAGCTAAATTGCTTGTTTTAGGAGTGAGTTTACATCGATAGTGTACTGGTCAGAATTCGAACCCCTTGATCGCAAGTCCAATGTCTTAACCACTAGGCTACCGCCGCTAACATGATAGATTTTCATGCTCATTAACTGTAAAACTTTAGTCCGATTAAAACTTAAACTGCACTTTATTTTTATTTTGACTGCACGGATGGCGTAGTGGTTTAAGTGGTCACCACGCCGCTCCCTACTGCGCTGACTGTTGTGGCTCCAATCTCCACATGGGACAACACTTTGTGTGATCCACAAATTGTTATTCTGAGTCTGGGTGTTCTTTGTGTCCGTTTTATATATAAATAAATAATTGTATACATATAAATAAATTGTACCACATTCACACAACGCCATCTAGTCGAAAACTAAGCAGAGCTTGTACTATGGGTACTAGACAGCTGATATAAATACATATATACCTACTTTTTTTTTGTAAATACATACTTATTATACATAGGAACACCCAGACCAAATCAAACATTAAATGTTAATGCACACAAATGTTTGACTTGAGCGGGAATCGCACCCACTACCTTTGGAATAGCAGTCCGTTACACAAACCACTATGTTTGTAAAGTCTCCTGCGTTACAGGATATAATTTTATTGCGGGAGTTGTCTTTTCAAAAAAGCGGCCAAATGCGAGTCGGACTCGCCCATGAAGGGTTTCCTTAGCAGTAAGTAACATAATATGAAAGTTCTTGAACCAGCCCCCCGCGTCCTCCGCACCCGCTACCGATCAAGCCACGTCCCGCGCGAATTATAATTATTATTTTTTTAGGCATCTATTACAGATTTATTATTAGAAAATAATGGTTCACGGTTTTTACATAAGGTTTATGTTTATGAAATTAATTTTTTTTTTTTATATTTGTGTTGATTGAATGAAGGGTAAATTGCGGTTTACGGTTCTTGACGTATTAAAAAAAACTACTTACTAGATCTCGTTCAAACCAATTTTCGGTGGAAGTTTGCATGGTAATGTACATCATATATTTTTTTAGTTTTATCATTCTCCTATTTTAGAAGTTACAGGGGAGGGCACACATTTTACCACTTTGGAAGTGTCTCTCGCGCAAACTATTCAGTTTAAAAAAAAATTATATTAGAAACCTCAATATCATTTTTACAGACCTACCCAACACGTATGGGTTTGATCAAAAAAAAATTCTGAGTTTCAGTTCTAAGTAAGTGTTTTTTTCTATTTTTGTGTGAAAATCTCAATGCGGTTCACAGAATACATCTACTTACCAAGTTTCAACAGTATCGTTCTTATAGTCTCGGAAAAAAGTGGCTGTGACATACCGAGGATCTATAAGGGTTCCGTTTTTTGCCATTTGGCTACGGAACCCTAAAAAGAAAAGATTTTTAATTTGATGTTGACACACCTGCAATCAAGCGCATGTTAACCTCTACTGCACTTGCTAGACAGTGTCAATGACAATCTAGCCCCACTGGACTAAATAGTGAGAAACTATAAAGTGTGACTGAAAACTAAATTTCGGTACATGTCCACGTTAATATTAATAGAGGGAGTAGATTAGACTTTTAATCTACTAATGTCCATAGAAAAAAAATTACCTTAGCGACAGGAGCTGCATAAGAGGTCGTATAAGGCGCAGCTACACCAATATGTGAAACTAGAGGCGCTGCCAGCCGCGTGTACGCAGGTGCCACGGCTAAACCGGGATTGCTGATACGGATGTCAGATTTGCGCACGCTCGAGAACGGTGTGTCGATAGCTTTCGTATCTGTCGATACCTAAACACACATAAAATTATTAGTATTTTGACCTCCTTAGTCATTTCTTTACTCCTAAATCCTTTAATGTCGATCCAGAGCCTAAGGTAGAAGGTAGATATACCATAACTCTTACTTTAATAATTCTCTTTTAAAAGAGTATTACCAACTTCAATGCTCTTAAATAATGATGAATTGTAATAAATTGTACATTTCATTCCTTAATTTTCGATCCTTAGGCTGCCATTTTGAATAGGACTATATGAAATGTATAGGTAGGTACTCTTTAAAAAAAAAGAGAACAAGTTTTTTGCAGTCAGTTAAAACACATTATTAATCATAAAACACCTACTCCTAAACATTGACCGAAACGCTGTTGTTAACACATCGTTGATTACTGCTCAAAAAAAAAATATCTTTATTTTATCAAAATATTAAGTTTACTAACCTGACCAAGATTAAAAGGTGATCTTAAAATGTTAGAGTGTTGGGCGGATACAGCGTAGTTCGCGCCGTAATTGCCGTAGGGGTTCCACGCACCATAGCCGGTGGTGATGATAGGGCCTATGGGGACGGCAAAAGCGACCGCCAGGCAAGCCAAAAAGATAATCTGGAAGACAATTCCACTTTACTGTTTATATCTACTTAACAGGAGCATATACTGGGTCTGCCAATAGGGATGACCTGGTTTTGACAGCTTATAGCGGCCATGTTTGATGATGGATATTGACATTTGTGTTTAGTAAGGTTTGCCATTTTATCATGTCACGTTTCACTTTAAACGCTTGGAAATTGTCCAAAATTATTACGCAAATTCGCGTTCACCTACCGCTACAGTAAGAGCGCTTCGCGCAAAAAACGGTCGTCATAGTGTTCCTTCTGTGCGCGCTATAAATCGCATAATAACAAAATTTGAAAGTGAATTAACTCTCCACGATACTGCTGTGCCTGTGAGACAAAGAAATGCCCGTAGTGAAGAGAATATCGCAGCCGTTCATGCCAGTGTTGATGCGAATTCAAAGCGATCAATTCAACGCCGTTCACAAGAGTTGGGGCTCTCTCCAATGACCACCTGGCGTATTTTGCGGTTGGATTTGGGCCTACACCCATACAAAATTGTTTTGGCATAAGAATTGAAGCCATCCGACCATTGTATCCGTCGTGAATTTGCCGATTATGCACTGGAAATGATGGAAGCCGATGATGATTTTCATCGTAAAATCATCTTCTCAGATGAGGCCCATTTCTGGCTCAATGGATTTGTTAATAAACAAAATTGTCGCTATTCGAGTGAGTCAAATCCACGTGTGGTTCATGAAACACCATTGCATCCGCAAAAAACAGTTTGGTGCGGTTAATGGTACAATGGAATCATTGGTCCGTACTTCTTTGAAAGTGACGAAGGAAACCCTGTTACTGTGAATGGCGAGCGCTATAACTCTATGTTAACCGATTATTTCTTTCCGGAATTTGACGATATTGATGCAGACGACCTTTATTTTCAACAAGACGGTGCACCACCTCACATTACTCAAGTGAACATAGAATTATTGCGTGGAAAGTTTGGTGAGTCGTTTATTTCAAGATATGGACCGGTCAGTTGGCCACCAAGATCGTGTGATTTAACACCTTTAGACTATTTTCTTTGGGGTTACGTTAAATCAGAAGTGTACAGCAATAATCCAGCTACAATTCGTGACCTAAAAACCAACATTCGACGAGCCATAGCCGACATACCGACCGAAATGGTGCACCGCGTCATCGAAAATTGGCGTGAGCGGGTGACCGTCTGCAAAAAGAGCTGCGGCGGTCATTTGGCCGATATATTATTTAAAACATAAATTGCATAAAATTATCTATCAAATAAATCAATCGGATGCATTTTTCATAAATAATTGTGTGTTTTATTCAATTTTTAAACCAGGACATTCTTATTGGTAGACCCCATATTTGTAAATAAATCATGACTCCTGGCAGGCTGAGGGTTATATTTATCCGACGACACTGAAGCCAAAAGGTGGATTGTAATTTTGGCTTGCAGGTATGTTCATAGGCTCTCACGTGACTTCTTAACTACATACATAGATACTAGTACATACCTCCTTGGTGATTTAACAAATGAGGCATCTTTTGAAGCGTCTTCATCGTCCACTCAGTTAGATATTTAGAGAATTTATTTATTTGAATTTTTATTCATACATATTTTGTACAAAGAACTTAATGATTATATTTGTTGAACTGTTACTATAACATGACGATGTTATTTTCACATGTAAGTTTTTATGAGCCTAGACAAAGCATAGCAGGGTTAGCTGGTTTAGTACAAAAAGACTTGATTTTATGTTTTTGTATAGAAGTAGATAGATAACAATCCTAGTATTCCCAAAAATTTTATAACACATAAGTATAAACTTAATAACACTTTTATTCAGTTTGTTTGTTTTATTTGATTAAAATTTGTTACTGTTATTAAAGATTTTTTATTAAGACTTTTTTTATTAACCAACTTCATTTTTATTTTCATTGAATTTTTTGTCTACTTTAATTTTTAGCTCAGAATGTTTTATTTTCATGGTTCCCTTAGAAATTCTTTGAATATATTACACTCTATTAGGAGCCTCACATAAAAGAGATCTATAAAATGTTATTAAAAAATAACTTTTAAGTATACGTTACCAACCAAACAAAATTATGATTATTTACAATAGCTTCTAGCAAAGAATAAATAACGGCTTACTCACTTTGAGAAGCATATTTGGTGTTTAGCCCTTCGACGCTTAAACCAATATGTCGTAACACCGGGCAGTGAGGTCTTTTATACCAATCCTAATATGTCAACATGTTCTAATGAAAGGACATAAGTGTGTGATAAGGTTGAACATAATGTACATTACAGTACGCCATAGTGAGCTTTATGAATAAGCTTAAGGTAGGCGTGTCTCGTGTGCAAGGATAATCTACTGTCATTCTGATACATGATAGGTATTAGTAATAGACAAATTAAACAATAATCAGAATTATTTCTTTATTTTATCGTTTGTTTGTTTTTGTCATACTATGTGTGAGTTTTAATGAAATAATAATAACTTGACACATCTCACACACTGAATGCAGCCTACATTTGGCATTAGAATATAGCAATAAGAAAAAAATATTTGAATAATGTCATTTCCTCTTTCACTTAAATGGTTACGAGCCGGGAGTTTAGGGTGTTAATTGCCGATTTAAGCACTGTATTTATCAACACACACTTTTACAAACATTAACTTAACTAAATAACTTAGTCGCACTAGAAAATGTCTGTCTCGTAAAACAATACTCGGCCGTACGGCTAACACGCTCCGCTTTAATGGGGATGTCGAAATAACTAGAATAATCCCTAGGATTCGATAAAGCTTTCCAAATAATAAGGAATTTCCAGTACCAATATTATTTCGTTACCCGACACTAGATGGCGCAGCAAGTATCGGGATGAGGGATCAATATTACAACGCGTATTATTCGTTGTGCGTTAGATGATACTAAATGGCGCAGTCCTCAAGATTACATACGACTCCTTGTTTATGAACTAACTACTCAACATTAGAACTAGAACCATTTAATCCTATGACGCAACAATATTACTTGTTCATTTAACTAGACCTAAACCTACGTAAATACCGAAAGGCTCTAACAGTAAACTTCGTTTTTAACAGGAAGTAAGGCGTGTGCTAAAGCATATGTGACAAACTTCATCATCGTCATCAACAGCCTCTACTAGTTCACTGCTGGACATAGCCCTCTCCTTAGAAAGGAGGTTTTGGCCTGCTATATCACGCTGGCTAGACGGGTTGGTATAGGGTTTGTTTCAAGTTTTCCTTCTCTTCGCAGTGCTGTTCTCCTGCGCTGTTTATTCCCTCAGTCGGCTCTTACGAACACCCACGGTATGAATAGGGGAGGTGACACTCAGTATTCTTAATCCGTCACCACACGGACACCACACGAATGTGACAAACTTACTTGTTACTTTTTTATTCGTAATAAGAAAATAAAAACACACTTTTGTAGGCAGCACAAAAAAACACACTTTTGTAGGTAGCTGAACTAAAATGTAGGTAATAATTTTCTATATATCTATTCTATAAAAAGCTTGAGGTGTTTTTCAATGTATTTTATAATGTAATAACTTTGTTAAAATATTTTACAACAATTGAGATCTAGCACCCCGTGCTTTTTTTCTTCTTTTTAGTTCGGCTAGCTATAAAAACGTGTTTTTTTTTTGTTTTTTAAGCTATAACTTATTTAAGTTAAATTTCCTTTTAGTCTTTAAGAAATATTGTTTTTAATTTGTAATTATAAATTTGTACCTATGTATGTATTGTAAGTGTGATCCTTGGAATGAATTATTATTGTATTTACTACAGTAAATCTGTTTAGCTTTTAGGATTGTCTTGCACCATTTGTGATGTTGTTATCAAAACTGTAACTGCCTGCCATCCATCCCTCTGATAACGAGCTTGCTACCCACTTAAAAAATGCATATATGGTAACAATAGTGTCCGTTTATAACTAGAGCAAGTTCGTCAACTATATATGTGAGTGAATTCATTTATCGTATAATAGCACTAGTATGTTGGCCTAGATCTGTCTACTGCAGTACTTTATGACTCCATTAAATTGCGCAAACACGTAATTTAATAACTGGAAAATTACATTTGTTGTAAAAAAAATATAGATACTTAGAACACGTATCGGTTGATTCGTAATATATATGAATTCAAATTCTCATGTGTGGGTGAGTTGACGCCCTTAGTATTCCGAGTGGGGTTTGAACGTACTAAATTTTGACCTGAAACATTAGGAATCATGTCACATTTCTCCCATATCTCCTTAATAGCTGCACCTCGCGGTTTATCAAATACAAGCAATGTATCCCATGGGATTTTTTGGATAAAGAGTAGCCTATGTGTTAATCTAAGGTGTCAGCCGCCATATCAATTTTTTTCAAAATTGATCCAGCCGTTTGAGCGTGAAGAAGTAACCAACATACAAACACACACACTCACAAATTTTCGCCTTTATAATAATAGTGTGATTTTATTCCATTTTTTTAAATCAAGAGGACTGCATGCCATGCTTCGGCTGATATAGCTTAAAATGACACCCAATTTCAATTGCCAATACCCAATTATTTTCAGCGAATAGGAGGGTTTTTTTCTTTTCAACTTCTTTTTTTTTAAGAGCGTACATAGATAGTCATTCGATTCAAGAAGAATGTGAAGTTTTGGGGTCGTCGCACAGTTACACAGTCATGTCGCTATTACAACACCCTGTGTTTATAACAAAGCTAACTGTGCCTAAGGCACCTACGATTACATATGAGCACGTGTGGCATTATTGTTAGACAGGGTGCGGTCAGACTTGTCTTTTATTCATTACCAGTGATCTATATGACCTAAACCCGTCAGTCAACGCAGCTGCTATGGCTATTTTCAATCCACTGTTTGACACGATGAAATCTAATAAAGTACGCAAATGTAAAGTAGATAAGTGTCTTGGGTATGTCGTTTATACAATTCTTAAGAATTCGTTCGATTGGCATAAAACTTTCGAGAGTTGATGGGTTAGGTAACTTAAAAAGGAAAACTGTCAACTGTCGAACAACTCACATTATGTGTTCTTTAGGGTTGTGCTTTCTTAAATAATTCCTACACTGATAATCTAATTTAGAAAATTATCTAATAACGGAATTGTTATGCGTACAATGGAATGATTTCTAAGAGCAAAAGGATCGCCCAACAAGGAAAGGTGTCTAGATATAATTGAACAAAAGGGGGAAAAGATGCTTTGAACTTGTTTCTTTTATTCGAGTAGTGCTTAATGCGAATGAGTTTAGTTTTAATATTGGAGGGAAGGACACACAGACAAACCGAACTACTTGTTTTGTAATTTATAATTTTATAGGTCAATCCCCAAAGTACCTACCTACCTACACCAATTAAGTTTATGACCACATTTTGTCCGTAGTAAAACGTTCCCAGACTCTGTAGGTTTCTTTTCGTTTTTAAAAAAGACAATTTCTGCATTAGGAATATGTCCTATGTTACGGGGGAGTTTACAAACATTCATGAAACGGACATAAAGAACACCCAGACTCAGAATAACAATTTGTGGATCACATAAACCACTACAAACAACATTTGTCACTAGGTACTGTATTGGTAGGACTTTTCTAATAGGTATCAAACCGAGGTCCTTCAAAGGTTATAAACAAAAGCGTACATGTTGCATTAATATTATTGCAAAAAGTGCTATTCTTCGGTTTAAAGACATTTATTTCTCATAAAAAGAACAATACAGTTCACTTACATAATGAGAAAATGTAACAACACAATAAATTAGTTAAGTATCTCTGTGATCTCAATACACAGTAGTATAAAACACATATTACAGTAGTATAAAACTAAAAATAAAACTAAAGAAATACAGACAACTTCATTAGAGTCAGTACTTTATCCTAATGTAATCTCCTAATTTTTTTTTAAATTTATACAAGCTATCACTTTTAGTAATATCATCAGGTATATCATTATAAAGTTTTATACCTTCATATAATATATTTTTCTTACCATAGTTGGTTCTAGGCTTTGTCACTTCTAGTTTTTTTCGTTTCCTAGCGTTGTATGTATAGGTTTTTTCTTTGAAGCTTAATTGTGAATGTGTACCTTGTGTTATGATTTTATGTATTAGTATACAAGTTTTAAGAATGTACGAGTATAGTTGTCTAATTGTTAGGATTTTGGTATCCTTATAGATGTTAAGTGTTGGTGTTAGGTAGTCGTAGTTATAAAGTGTTTTTATTGCTTTATTTTGCAAGACTTGAATTTCTTGGATATTCGATTTCGAAGCAGTGCCCCATATCTCAATCAGGTATTCTATATGAGGTCTAACTAGAGCGTTATAGATCATTACTCGAGCCTAACTAGGGACGCAAAAGGACATTCGACGTAGTGCACCAATAACAGGAGATATTTTGGATTTAATATATGCAATATGGTGTTTCCATGTTAATTTTGTGTCCAAAAAGAGGCCTAAATATCTTTCACCACTTGATTTTGTAATATTTTCTTTATTTATTGTTAGTTGGATTTGATGGTCAATCTTCTTATTTTTTGCAGCAATGATCATGTATGATGTTTTTTTCGTATTAATAGTTAATAAGTTAGATAGAAACCAGTTGTTTAAAATATTTAAATCATTTTGTGCCTCTTTCACGATATCTATCAGGTTGGGTCCAAAATAAAAGAGACAGGTGTCATCTGCGTAAAGTGTAATGGTGCCTGATGTTTTAACATTGTTTATATTATTAATATAAATTAAAAACAACAGGGGGCCGAGAATCGATCCTTGAGGAATTCCGTATGTTAGTTTAGCAGGCAAACTTACATGGTTTTCAATTTTGACTACTTGTTTCCGGCTTTCTAAGTACGACCTAAGAGTTTTATGTGCTGTTCCTGATATTCCTGCATCTCTTAACTTGTTTAAAAGCATATTGTGGCTAATTGTATCAAATGCTTTTTTTAGGTCTATAAAGACACCTAGGACATATTGTTTTTTATCTATAGCATTTTTAATTTTTGTTGTTAGATCCATAGTAGCGGATAAAGTACTTGATTTTGGCCTAAATCCATACTGGTTCACAAAAAAGAAATTTGTGTCTGTAAGGTAGTTGTAAAGACGGATGTAAATTATTCTTTCAAAGACTTTGGAGATGACCGGGAGCACAGAAATTGGTCGATAATTACCTGGATCAGATTTGCTTAGAGACTTGTAAACAGGAGTCACTTTGGCAATCTTAAGACTATTAGGGAATATTCCCAGTTCAAGGCACTTATTTATACATTCAGTTAAGTTATCTATTATTAAGTTTTTAATGCATTTTAAATCTTTAACCGTAATCCCATCAATACCACTACTTGTATTTATATCTAAGTTATCGATTATTTTACTGATTTCTTTTTTGTGCAAGCATGTAGTGTATTTAATGTAGCTGTATTTTTTTGTGACTGTGTCACATTTATATTTAACTTGTTTGGAGTGTATAGGTTTGTTTGTGTTTGTAGTATATTATTGGCTAACTTAGAACCAACTGTGGAAAAGTAATCATTAAAATATTGACAGATTTGCTTACCATTTGTTATTACATTATTTTCTGTTGTTAATTTAACTGGAACAAATTTTTTTATGTGTTTGTTATTTGCTAGCGTATTAATTAAATTCCACATTTTTTTCGTGTGTTTCTCGCACTTTTTGAAACTATCCAAGTAGTACTTTCTTTTCGCGTTTCTTATTGTTTTATTAGTCACGTCTCTTAAATGTATGAATTTTTGTTTAGTTTCAGGGCTGCCATTTTCATGTTTATAGGCACTCCATGCTTTATTACGCTTATGTAAGATATCTAGCACATCTTTATTAATCCAGTCATCACGAGGCTTGTTGAGAATTTTTACTTTTTTTATTTAATTGCTGGTAATTTTAGTAGTAATAAGAGTTTGCAGGTTTTGATAGTCGTTCTCCTCATTGGCAAATTCTGTTTCTTCAATTGATTTGTATAGATTCGTGTAGTCTGTAGCTAGGTATTCATATTTTAACTTTTTTGTAAGTAAAGGTTTCTTTAGTTCCAAGTAAATTTGTTTATGATCCGATAGTATAGTATCAATTAAGGTCATATAGAAGGTATATTCTTGGATATTTGATGAAATATGGTCAATCAGGGTTTTCGTAGTTTTCGTTTCACGAGTACAATATTTCGTACTTATATTGTTGAGTATTTGATAACCGAATTCGTTAAGCATGCTTTTATATGTATTTGTCTGTCTGTCGTCTTTTAATAAGTTGATGTTGAAATCACCGAATACTATAGTTTTGCGTTTTTTCTCTAATTGCAGAGCATAAGTTTCAATAAAATCAGTAAGATTTGTGCTTCTTAAACAGTATATTATTATTCGTCTGTTTACAACAATTTTAATTACATATAATTATAAAATGATAGTTATTTTATAACTAACTAGTGTTATAACAAACTGGTTTTAGTAACAATTGTGAGTTATTGATACAGCCAGAGAGCAAAAGTAGTGGTCTTTTATTTACCAGAAAAATTCGGCCATAAGAGCGTTTACTGTACATCGGGATCGCAATTGAATTTCAAGTAAATGTACGGCCACGCACACTAATACTTGCCAGTACGAAGCTTGCATAAAGTACATTTTTTTTTATATAATAACAATGAAGTAGCTTGTGAATGTTTCACAAATAAACATAGGTATATTTCTATTTCTGGTCTGGTTCAAAAATATTTATTGAGTTCTATAAGAAAGAAATTTCACAGAGTTTGTTATGGATTGTTGGCGAAAAAAAACAAAGGTAGGTAGTATATTTTTCCACTCTACAGCAAGGAGAGCAAATTAACAAACCATAACGATTTCTAGGCAATAATTACATTCGTCACGCTGTCCCCCGCGAGACAAGCCAAGTGCATCGTATACTAGCTAACCGTAATGCAGTTCAGTTTATACTTCACAAAGAAATATCCGCTAGCGTTGCGTATTGAACGGAGAAATGTGTTCATTTGGAAAACACATCGTTCTACTTATTTATACAATAACAATAATCAACAGTGAACGTTGGTACGCAGCAACTATCTTTGAAAGAAGAGACTCTGGCAACATTACATCAAATAGACCCAGTTATAAACCTACACAAAACAATGAGCAACAATTCACACCTTTAGCTTTGATAAGATCTAAGGAAAATAATAAAGAGCGTGATAATGTAAAACCTACAGTTTACTCAATTGAAGCGCAACCATTTCAAAATTCATCATGGACTGCATCTAACACTGTCGTGCCTGTTGTAATACGGTTTAACAACACCATAGACAACCTGAATGTTTTAAAAAATGTTCAGCCAAAAAGGAAACAAATCCGTGCAAGGTGCCCTAGTATTGAACCAAAAGAAACAAAAAAGCTGATATCCAAACAAAGGTCTAAAACGAGGTTTCTTGAAGTTTTCCAAGTTGTAGAATTTGATCACATGCCTTGCACATCTAGCAGTGGCTTAGAAGGAAAGTGTCTACCCGAATCTGAATGTATTGATGCCGGAGGAACTACAATGGGAACTTGCGCCGATGGCCGCCGGTGGCCGAGGTACTTGCTGCGTTAGTAAGTAAATTTAATAACAATTAATAACATATAGCTTTTAGCAACAACCTGCCAGCTTCCCGAATTAAATAATGTCTGTTGTTAATTATACTTGGCTTAATATAACTAAAACTGAAGTGTAACTAAGTGAAACTAATAATTAAATAATTATTAGTTTCACTTTGTTACACTTAATAGTTATCATATAGATGTAGACTGACGTCAATAGGTTGATGATTAAGCCTTGCCAAAACTCTTTTACAATTTTTATTCTTCTGAAAAATAATTGGTTAGTTGGTTGTTGGTCTTCATTCAGTAGGTGAATCAATAGTTTCTGTTGCATAAAATATAGGACCATTGTTACTTCTACTCTCTGGCATTGTAGGAAGTTTTTTTTGGGAAAGTACCATACAAGAGCTCATCGGTCATTAATTGATCCTTATTTAGGTGTTATGTACGTTTATCCATTTCTCTATAAATTTATGAAAGTTAGGAATCTTAGCCTATACTTAAAAATATAACCTTGCTGAATGCAAAGAATTGCAATTAGTATATTTTGCAGCTCAATTTCAATGCGACGACCGCTCTGCTGCGCAAACAGGATGGTTTACTAACCCAAGCTTTCCTTTACCGAACACTGAAAGGCTCACTTGTGACATCGCTTTAGACAAATCATCAGACGATATCAAACAAATTCGTTTGGATTTTAGCCTTTTTGAGGTAAAAACTTGGGACTTTTAAATATTTTTATGTTAGTATCTAAACGGTCAATTGGTACCTCTTTTATCCATTACACCCAGCCGATTTTATTTCACTACAGCCATTTATAACATTACTTACTTTTAATTTTTGGTTGTTTTTTTTTTTGTTTAGATACTGCCACCCGTTAATGGAGTTTGCCAAGATGATCAATTTATTGTATCAGGACAAAATGTTAACAATGTGATACCAATCCTTTGTGGTATTAATACTGGCCAACATGGTGAGAATATTGTTGTTTTGTTGATTTCATTCGGAGTTTTAGTATCATATCGATATAGTTACAAGCATCGATGTTTTACCTTTTCTAAGCGTAAACGCAACTTCTGCTTCTCTCTTTGTATGTACTTGACACATTTATACTTTACACTATTATTTTTTGAGTTCAATTCTTACGTAACTACTACAAGGTATACTAGGGATAAGTAAACTATAGGTAAATAAAATAAAATTGTCAGCTGCACCGACCTATTAGTGTGCGAAAAATAAAGACACCGACCGAAAAACAAACATTTTTTGCTAACTTTTGTCCGCTGCATTGTTATCGTGATTAATTATTTTATCAATTACTAAGATAATTCTCTTTCGTTTTTCTTGAATCTCAATGAAAGGAACAACTAAATTCTTCTCATATATCCGGACATGAAGTATGAGAATTTGAACAGTGCACAAACGCACTTTTGCAATTATGAAATTATTAACTTATTTATTTTTGTTCTTATGTACACAATATAAACATTTACAAAAAATAAACATAAAGGAATAGTGTGCACAAAGGCGAGCTTACCCAATAGTTGAGTTCTCTTTGAGCAAACCTATGTTCTTCCTTCCTTCCGGCAAATATTTTATTACAATTCATCATGATGTACGAGTATATAGACGTGTATCTACTTATGCGAACGTGCTGTGAACAATCTTACGTAATCTCTTAATCAATCTAGACGTAATACATTTAATTTAGTGTCTGACTATTTCGGTTGATTATAGTTTATATTGAAGTTGGTGATACGAAGGGTCCCATTTACCTCGCATTTCAAACTGCTACTTCAGAAAACAGGCTGTTTTCCATCAAGGTAAATTTATTTTGGATAACAATTTTTACGAACATATCTATGTACTAACCCATATCGTAAATTTTTTAAGCGTTCCATTTTACTTTTAATAAAATTAGTTTATTTATTTTACGAACACTATTATAGGTGACTCAGCTGACGTCATCCGATGAATTGGCAGCACCTTCAGGCTGCCTTCAATTCTTCAAACCAGCGCAAGGATATCTAGAATCATTTAACTATCGTGATAAATCTGACATAGGAATTGCTAGATATGCTTCTTACTTGGTAAGAAGCCAATATTATAACCGATTATAAAATAAGAGTAATTTATACCCGAAAAAGTAGGAAGGAGGTAATGGTTTTAAATCATTTGTAGACAAATTTATGCCAAATTGATCTTTAAGGGATCATTGTTCAGATAGTGTTAGTATCAATGATGGCGGCGACGTGAGTAAATTAATTCGCTTTTTAACACGCTTTTATTAGCTTAGTATATATGTAACGGGATCTTCGAACGTGATTTTGACACACCTTTAAACGTCAAATTAAATTGAAACTTCGCACATTTATCTATCAAGGACCGGTGACAATACAATTATTTCATAAATTAGGCCGATTATCCTGATCAGGATCTTCAGGATTAACAGGCGTGTGCTGAAACATATGTATATGTGACTTACTTACTTGTTACTTTTTTAGTCTTAATGATAAAATTGTCGTCATTAATGACAAAAAAATCCAAAATAAATGATAGTTAAAAAACTAAAGAAAAATAATTTTATCGTTAAAAAGCGTGGGGTGCTTTTCAAGATGTTTTATAATATAATAAATTTACTTTTACCAATATCTGTCAATAATATATTTTTAAATCAATTGAGATTTAGCACCCATGCATTTTTACTATTTAATGATTTTACTTTTTATTCGTCTAGTTACAAATGCGTGTTTTTTTAGTTTTTAAACTATAATTTAGTTTAGTTACTTTATTAGGTAGGTTTTAAGTTAGTTAATGCATACGCTATTTATTTGTTTTTAAAGGTTCATTGTTATTTAATAAATAGCTCACATTACGCTCATATTATAGCAAGAGATCAATAAGATCAAATTACTAAATAGCATAATTACCATTTCAGAATAATCTTAATTATGCCATGTGCATCGAGCGCGCCCCAGAAACTTGCAGTGTCACTTACACCAACACTGATGATATGCAGATAGTTAATTACGACCCAGGTAGGTACATGGGTTAGCTAGCTATGACTACTTTAGCACAGAATTTTATTACTTTAGAAAGTTCCACACGTGTTTTTTTTTTCAATCATTTATAACACTTAACAACGATTAGTAAAAAATTAAGGTCGCTGTTCATAAATAACTGCTACTTACTTAACAAGGGCTACGACACGTAACTACATACTCGTAGGTACTAAACATGGAAATTATTGCTACTTTTAAATCACATTCATTTGATGGAATGATTGGGTTTAGGCACAGCGATTTCACATGTGATTGGGATTTATTATGGACAAAGATGTGGTATTAAAATCAATCAAAATTATTTTTATCATAGATTTAGACCTTTCGCGAGTCTTGCGATAGCGTCATAATATTAATTAAGTAGCAGTGGTTTTGTAAATCAGTCACAGGGTTGACGAAATGATCATTGAATCATACGATACGACGATATCATCATTTTATCACATGTGATTGTGATTTTATTACAGTTAAGTGTTCCTAAAAAAATAACTTTAGTGGAAAGTTTCCAGGGATAAACTTTTTAATTTATGGCATAAGTAAATTAATTCAAATAAAAAAAAATGAAATCTACTGCTTATAGCTACTATACTATGCACTGGACTCAGAGCAAATAAAATAGTTGAGATGGTAGGTACTCTGTGAACAAAGGAGTGAGGCCAATTAAAACTACGCCTTGGCGTGCACACGCACACACGTTCAACGAAAATACCTTGTCAGTCAAAACGTCATCAAAGATGTCAACAATATTTACAACTTACAAGTAAAAATGCCGAATTCTGTTGTGAAAGGGTGTAAAATCCTACTGCAAGAGATAGATTCTATCTCTTGCAGTAGGATTGCTATGGCGTAACACTACTATCTGATAGTAGTGATACGACATAGGATTGAGTGGTTCTTGTGTTGTGTCTTGAGGACAGCGTCATCTAGTATCAAGTGGGGCACAACGCATTGAGGTTATGGTTTTTATTTCCGATACTTGCAGTGCCATCTGGTCTCGAATATCGGAACATTATAGAAATTTGTAGATTCCTTACTGTACGTGGTTCTGTCTGGAACATTCCATCGAATCATATAGATTAGTCTAGTAATTTCGATAGCCCTATAAAAGCGGAGCGTGTTGGCAGTACGGGAGAGTATTGTTTTACGACACAGCGAAGTAATAAAAATAATTAACCGAATACTTTTGTTTATTGTATACCCCGCATTTCACACATAAGTAAGCGTAGAAACCAATATTTTCAATAAAATAAAATTATGATGGCAGCACTGGCCCACGCCCACATATTTATAAAACCGGCATCACTTCGTTCTTCGCAAAGTTCCTTTTTAACTTTTTTATTTTATCTGAGGGACTGGACTGTTATGAGACTAGAATCATGCGGGAGTCGGTACCTACATAATTGTGTAGACAAAATTGAACTGAACAATACTAGGTTCTAAATATTAAATGCTGAATTTTAAATATTTTAAATTAATACTAACAAAAATGCACATGCACAGTGAGGCTTATATTAAGTACCTGTGTTGCTTAATATAAGCCTCACTTAGTAAGTTTATTAAGTAAACACATTAACAGAGATCTGTTTTATACTAGATGGCCTACATTTAATTCCACCGGGGCAAGCGGGCGTGGAAATTCTAAATTGTCCAAGTGATTGGTTGCTGATTGCAGCTACACGTCTCTGCGGCGATCGTCTCAATGATGGTTCAGTTTTTGAAGACTTCACTATAAATGCACCCATCACAGGTAGGTAGTCCATACCTCATAAATGCATAGGCAGTGTTAGTCGGTTGTATCATGCGAATCATCAACAAAATCCACGTTACTAGAATATTCTATATAAATACATAATACTCATGTGTGTATTCTCAGAAACAGGCAGAAGCGTCATCGGTCATACCCACCTACACTTTACCATAATGTCTTATTTAGTTCTACTATAGGAAACTCGCGAGTCCTCCGGGGAACCTCTCTGTATAGGTTAGGTACATAATATGTCTTATTAGTAATAAGATGGGGTGTTTATCTATAAATCAAATAAGGTTAACCAACTTTACCTTACCCTTTGACCACCGCACAGATGTCAAGAAACCTTAAAATCTATGAAAATAAAGGGGTCCATGAAATGGTATTGAGTTACCTATTAAATAAATAAAAATACCCTTTCGAAATGAGTAAGTAAATTAATAATTTAATTTTTTTACTTCTAAAAAACTGGAATTTTCAAACAGGAGCTTTTCTACGTTAAACAACGAGCATGTCCGATTTTTAGGTCTCTTGCACTGTGCACCGCTGTATTGATTTACATCACAAATGTTATCATCGTCATTTATGTCTTTATATTTACTTTCAAATAGACTTAATAATAAGTATTGTAATTCATTAAAGACATTTAAAGACATAAGCACTGCAAACTGCAAAGGGAAGAAAACTTGACAGAAGCCCTCGTCTGGCCAGCGTGGTATAGTAGGCCAAATCTCCTTTCTAAGGACATTCCATGTCCCATAGTGGACTAGTAAAGGCTAATGATGATGGTGATGAATGTAATTCATTTACTGATAGTATTTTTGTAATTATAAAATATTGTGATAGCTTAAATGTTGTATATTTAGGCATAAACACAGAGTAAGTTCTTATGCTCAGACACTGCTGGTGACAAATTACATTTTTCAGAAACTATTTTAACGAATAACGGTACCAGTAATATAAAATTATATACATGGCCAGGAATTAACACGATCATTTCACGCACCTACGAATTACATTTTACCGATACAGCTGTATCGTAAATAAAGCGGCTGTTTATTTAAGGCATTTCGCGAAGTTGTTTCTTCTGTATCAATCAGTCAATCAATCGTCGCGTCAATTCCTGTTAGTAGCACCTATGTATATGTACTAATGTAATTGATTGTAGTCGGATTTGAGTTGAAATAAAATGTGGGACGGGTATTGTTTTTTTTCGAGTCTATCATTATCATTTGTCAGACTCATGCTCGTAGTGTTTTATAGAAACTATTTTGTTTCAATTATTTAAATATTGCTGTAAACTTTTTCAGATAATAATGCAGGACCTATCGTCGTGTGGTTTAGATCAGACGAAGCATATGTAGGATATGGTTTTAAATTGTTTTATCAACTGAATTCATGTAGTGTGATGCAATCATAGATAAACTATATTTTTTTAACATTTATTTATTTATCAATTAATATATACTATACTTATAGTTAAGTAATGCACTGGTTATATTTTAACATCAAGTTTTTATTAAAAACTTAAACAAAATATTAATCAGGAATGTTACTATACAAAAACATAAATTATTAATGTTTAAACAACTAATAATAATAAGTATATGTTGTGACAAAACTTGTTTCATTCTTACTTGATAAACATTTAATTCTTTAAGTTTAACAACAATATTAACACATTATCTATTTTTTGTAGAGAACTTCTTTTTAAGACCATCTCTGACAATATTGTGGAAGGACAGTAATATTCCAACCATTACGATTCTTAGTATCCCCATAGAAAATACTTGTAGAACAACCTGTTTAGCGTCTTCTATAGTGCCACCAAACAATGTTGAGAGTAACGTTCCAGACACACTGTACACAGAGTATGTTTTACCAACCTGAAAAAATAAAACTCATTTGTTAAGCAAAACAAAATGTCTATACTATTAAAAAATTTGAGAGTTGTGCTATTGTCTAATTTACTTTTAGTCGAAAAAAAATATAAACACTTATCAATCTTTTTCAATGGGTGAAGAATATAATTCCTTAATTGATTTTTAAACAGAATTTAACATAAAGCTTCAATTTCAACTTTATTTATCCAACTACCAGTTTAATATATCTACATAATGCCACTTTAGATTAAAATTGCTTTTCAAAACTTCTTAAAGGCACTGTTTTAATTTAAATCTTCATAGGAATCATTATAAGATTATACTGTGAATATACTAAACAGTTTCACTGTTTTCACAAACAAGGTAATAATAATAGATGGAAACATCTCACACACATGGATATCTGATCCCAGATTATTTAGAGACTGATATGGTATACTAGTAGGTATATATTTCTAAATATATGTCTATTACAGATAAATTATTCTCAGGCACAAAACATAAAGTGCAGGCCTGAAGGTGACAGGTGAAGTCATCTGTCACCCTAGCAGAAGCGGCGCCACGCGCTGCGGAGCGGCGTTTTCCTATTTTTCGGGGGCAGAAAGGAACATCAAGACAACCATGATTTTACTTTGAGCGCGGTTTTTTTTCAGCCATAGATGAAAGCACAGAACATAACAAAAAAAACTATTCCAGTTCTATACAGTTGTATGAAACTTTAAAGTAAGTTTAAAATGTTAAAATACCTTATTTGACCATTAAAAATGGTGCTGTAAATGGAAGTCATCAATAAAAACGTAAAAAAAAAGCCAACTTACGAGAGCATCATGGATCATTTTCTTCCCAACATCATGAGCAGAATGTAATCCTCCAGAACCTGATATAAGCTTGGTTTCTTCTGGCTTTGTAAGGTCCTCATTTTTTAAACCTGGGGTATCAGTATCTGGAGGGAAAGCCGTCATTAGCTTCACTCCAGTGCCAACAAGTTCCATATTCACAGATTCAGCTAATCCACGGACAGCCCATTTGCCTGCACTGTAAGCACTGTACCCATATATACCTGTAATAGAATAAATAACAAATAAGCACTTACCTTTTTTTATGATATAAATAACTTAAAACAAGCAGACATGGCAATCAGATCCCAAAGTGGACACAGGCTATATATAGTAAAGGAATTGCTGATAAATAATCTTATTTATTATTAAACTAGCTGACCCGCAAAACTTCATCAGCTTCTCTGAAAAGAAATGAATTTTCCCTTATTTCCCTGTTTTCACAACATTTTTCATTGATACTTGGCTCCTATTGGTTGTGGCATAATGGTATATAGCCTATCTCCTTCATTGATAAAGGGCTAACACTAAGTCAATTTCCTTTTTGTACCAGTAGTTTCGGAGATTAACCTGATTTCGAATCGAACGTACAAACTTTCCCTCTTTATAATTCATTAGTATAGATAAATATCATGTTTCTTACACAATTATTTATTATGGTTATGTACTAATTGAAGCTTTATCATCATAATCAACAGTCCCCAACAGTCTACTGCATGGCATAGGCCTCTCCTTACAATGTTAATTGCACCTATTGCATCAGAACGTGCTCTCGCACAACAGTCAGGACTCAGAATCACCCTGGTCAGACAGCCCTGTTAAATTTAAAGTCAGACAGTTCATGTCAGTTTGTGCAGTCACTTAAATATTTTAAAACTAGTTGACTGTAAGAATGTGTTCTATTGTTATCATAGTAGAGATGTGTTAAAAGAATGAGAGCTTAAGAGAAGAGTGAGAAAAATGACATTAGCAAACTCAAAGAATAACACTGCTGAAAACTTATTAAAATCAACATGCATTTAAAAGTAAATGAAATAAACAGTTTGTAACCAACTAAAACCATTGCCATATTCTCCTAATTATTTGGTTACATCACTTTGTTTAAGTGTTTACATTTATTAATAGAAAAACTCACCTATAAACGCTGCTTCAGAGCTGACAAAAACAATCAAACCTTCATTTCTTTTTATCATTCCTGGCAAAACGCAACGAGTAGGATATGCAGTTCCAAAATAATTCAAATCTACCATTTTTTTTATGGCATTTACCTGCATCTTATGGAACTGACCGCAAATGCACATACCGGCACAGTTTACCAACATAAATATTGGAGCCACGGTTTCTTCTAAAGATAAAAAACATTCTTCTATGACATTATAATCAGAGGTGACATCCAATGCGACGTGTTGTGTTTTCTGGTTGCTGTCTGTGCAAGCCGCGGTAACTTCTTTCACAGCCTCGGTAAGTTTAGACACGTCACGCCCGATAATAGTTACGTGTGCTCCAAGTTTTGCTGCTTCTATTGCTGCAGCTTTTCCTATTCCACTAGAACCACCAGTTATTACAACATGCTTCCCTTTCAAATCTTTGTATACTATTTTTTTATCTAATGAAAAATGAATAACGACTCCTAAACAAAACAACACCACCAGAAATATCAACAAATAAATTAACATGGTTATAATTTAACTTCACTACTTTAGTGACTTATCGGTATCACTTCCACTTAGGGATGGGTTCTGTGAATTCTGAGACTGATTTATCTAAGAATCGATTTCTCCCGCCCTGATGGACCGTAGAACCTTCGATTTTTCAGTTTTAATAAAAATCATAAAATTATTTACAGGATACAGACCATAATAATATATAGAGTAGAGAAGGCCGACGAACTCAAACGAGAACTAGCCTTACATGCCTCTATATGAGTTCATCACGGCGGGTGAACATTACAACCCCGTTGGTGTCGCTTTTGCAACTACTCCTATTCTCCATTGTATTAAACACAAGTAAAGAGTTAACCGTTTTTCACTTAATTATAAATAACAGCCACGGAGTATATGAGCATCGTGGGTCCATTCGTGCCTTGTAAGCGCCTTTTACTTTTATAGATTGCAGGTAATTTGCAAGTGATGAGGGCACCGCTTGAATCCCAGTAGTCTTGACACACTGTTGTTTTTCAGAAGCTTAGATATTCAGCATGAAGAACGATAAGCTGTTTAATTATTTTCTAAACTTTTTAATGTAACAACTAAATTTAGAAACAAAGATCTAATCCTACCCGATACTTTGTTATAGTTATAAAAACCAATGTAGTTTATGATTTTTCTGAACTAAAAAATTGTCCGATAATTACTAGCTGACTTTCTCAAAATTAATAAACAAACGAACTCTTCAGCTGTAAAATGTTGGTATAGATAAGGCATCGGTTAATATGGTACCTTCCTTGTTTTCCATAAAATTGATTTATAAATTTTTTACATTGTAAATGCAAACTTGGAAAAAACGTTTTTTTTTTGTGAATCGATTCATCAGGTCGTCTTTCAAATCGATTTAAATTTTTTGAAATTTTGCTGATACGCAATAATACCAAATTTCTACATCGTCAAACAAAACAAAACTTGCATCTAATAATATAGCAAGTGTGCTAAAAGTAATCACAAAAATAAAATAACAGATAACGCGGTATAAAATTCGGTATTTTACATTAGGAGATTTTAAAAACAGCTCTTATCTGATATGCAGATGCAGGTCATGTTATCGTAAATAATTATATTTTTATTTCTTTTTCGTGCTACCAGATTAGAATCTGATTAGAATCAGATTATAATTTAGATTTAGATCCCAATAGAGGGATTTACTTAGTGTTTTTTTTTAATTCAAATTATTTACTTGCTTGAAAATAGCAAGAAAATTTAACAAATTATTACAATAACTTGGTAGGTACTTTTTTTTTTTTTTTTTTTTTTTAATGGGACTAATCCCGCCCACATGCCCACCACTGTAACTCCTGTACACCAGGATCCACAGCAGTGACCCACGAACACACCGAGTTATGACACTCGGGAAGTCCCAGGAAGAAATTAAACTGTCTTGGAACCCGCAACGAAATTAATCAGAAGAAAATTGGAGGAGTTGGAAATACAGTAAATCCACTTCCCTCCTTAGCAAAGCGGGAAACAAAATGAAATAAAATGGGCATACACCCTTTTAAACAGGGAAGCACCACGGCCACGAAATATTACGGGTCCTACGTGAGCTATATTTGATTTCTATAATATGTATGGCAGAATCGCCTAAACGCACGGAAATTCACCCTAGTTGATACAAGATCCCCATAGTATACCGCCCCAGATGTCACCTGCAAGGTATTCAGCATTATATTACGTTCATTATACCAAAGACTACATTCCCAGAGGATATGATGAGCAGACTGTTCATAGTGAGAGTTAGGTGTTGAGCATTGACACAATGGTGACTCGACTAATTTAAATGAATAAAGCTTGCTCTTAAAGTTACATGAAGAAATTGAGCGACACAGTGATCCACCTCAAGCCATGTCCTCGACAACCGTTCGCGAACAGATGGAAAGAATTGGTAAAGATGGCGCCCCTTGGATGATTCATCCCAGCGTTGTTGCCATTCGTCTATGAGGTCATTATAGACATCGGACTGCTGTTGAAGCAATCTTGTAATTTTACCGCGATCCCGCGCGCCCAAAAATTCGCATTCCATGTTTTGTTGTCTTGAATAGTACATGGCTGCACGTCTCTGCACTTCGAGATCGACCGGAAGCACACCCGCCAACACCGGCAAAGCCTCGGTGCTAACCGTCCTATATGCCTTGCACAAGAATTGGTAGGTACTTATATAATATTATTATTATTATCTTTCCTCAGGTCAACAATGTATCAATTATATTGGGCTCTTGTTCCATTTCTTATTCTTACGATTCCTTCTTTGTAAGAAATTCCTTAGTGAAATAAAAATTGTTTTGCATAAGCCTCCAACGTAGTTTTACTGTAAAATTATTTAAGGGTAATTATAAAATTTCTTCTTCTTATAGGTCTTTATAAAATTTGGGATTTCATTTTATATTTCTATGCACATAGCGTAAGAGTTATTTTGCAGCCGACTACTTCTTGTTATCATGTTCAGAACGAGCCTATCTGGGTTCCTTATATGATATCACGCCGAGTAATATATTTTGTCCGTTTATATACCTGAGGGTGTTGCTTGATCAAATTCCCTACCTCTAATATATAAAAGCAGTCCAAAGGGAGCATTTTTAGATGTTTAAAATAAGGGCGATATGATACGTCTTTTTTGAGCAATAAAAACTTTCTGAACCTCTGAGCTATTTCTCCATATTAATAGGCCATACCGAAGGACAGATTCGATATAAATAAGCCGTGCATGCTGTAATTTGGTTTTCTATTTTTGTTAATTTATAAAGAGCATATGCAAACCGGCTAATCTTGCTGCTCACTATTTTAATTTGTTATTTCCAATTGGATTTATAATTTATTATTATTTCTTAAAGTTATTAAAATTCATAATATATTTTAGGTATATGTATTTACTTTCAGAATGTCAGTTTTGTGTTGTTTAATTGTCATGTTTTAATCAGTAGTGACTATAACAATTACATAGTCCGCGAACAATACCGTTTTGTAGTCTGTAGTTTTAGACAAATCGTTGATATAGACCAGAAGTAGTAGCGGCCCTAGCACGCTTCCTTTGGGGAACCCCAAACTTATTTCTTTTGCATTCGGATCTATATGTATAGATTTAATCATTTAAGTTTGATTGAGATATATCTACGCATTGAAGTCTATCCTCGAGATTACTTTGTAACCAGTTTAGTGCAGGTCTTCAAATGTCATAACATTCTGGTTTTTTGAAAAGCTGTTCATGTGCTACAAAAACGAAAGTTGTCGACATATCCAGAAACACAACTGTTGTATATTTACTATTATTTAAATTCTCTAGGACTAGGATTTATATGGTAAAATGTGGCATCCCTAGTGGATTTGTTACGTTGAATTCCAAAGTGATTTGTATCAAATTGTATCAATGCTAATCGAAAAAAGACGTCAATTTATCATGCATAACTTTTTCAAATAATTTAGAATAGATAGGCAAAAGAGTAATCGCTTATAATTACTAACTTCTGTTTTGTCACCTTTCTTGTATAATGGCTTGATCACAGAATATTTTATTTGGTTTATTTGGAAATGTACCTGATGTAATGAAAGATTTACAAGAAATGTCATTATGGGTGTTAATTGGATACTACATGTTTTTAAGACACTAGTACAAATTGATGATTATCTTATGCATATAAATTTCATATATGGGCAATAAAAGATTGAGTTTATTATGGATATTTGTGTTACGAATTTCATGAGGTGTTCTATTTGTACTGGAGATAAAATATTCATTGAAGGTGTTCGCTATTGGCAGTGGATTTCTAACAATTGTATCTTTATTGGCTAGCTTAGTAACACATATATACATATTATACATAACAACTATGTATACCTAATATGTATGTATTTACAAAAAAAAAGTATAAATGTATTTATATCAGTTGTCTAGCAGTCTAGTAGCCATAGTACAAGCTCTGCTTAGTTTGGGACTAAATGGCGTTGTGTGAATGTAGGAAAATATATTATATTATTAAATTAGTTAGGTTTTGTACAGGTAGTGTCACTTTAGACAACTGCTGACCAAGTAACTCTACATATATTCACACTGTTACATATTTTGCATTGTTGAGCCTTTTAGCAGCAAAGTCCAATGTTTTTATTATAGACTAATGTATGTTTCTTACGATCTTAAGACGAAGTAGACTTTATATTTTACCAGAGTTTTTTTCTTCTTCAATAATTTAAGAATGGCAGCACTTTGAATCTGTACATTTTTTAATCTGTATGTATTATTGATTCAGTTCTGTCATTTGCACGAATTGATATAATTATGTTTATTTTGCTGGTGTTTCTATTAAAATAATAAGTCAATTTTAATAACAAGCGTAATTTTTTTATATTTCAGTTCACAAAACATTATAACAGTAAGAATCTTAAGTTTGCTTGTACCTGTAGCATATTAGAATTGTCTCAATTCAGTTTGTGTGTTCATATTATTTATAATGAATTATGAGACTAATAGGCTTAATACATTTGTTAATTGGCCTTCATCAGCACCAGTAGATCCTATAAGGATAGCGAAAGCAGGATTTTTCTACACTGGTGGTGGAACAGAAGTGCAGTGCTTCAGTTGTGGTGGTAAAATATCCCAGTGGAACTACGGGGACCAAGTCATGTGGAGACATCGACGATTAGACCCTAACTGCCCATTTGTGGTGAACCCTCACATTTCGGGCAATGTGCCTTTAGTCCTGGAAACAGGCTGCCCATCAATTGTTGATACTAATACATCGCTGGTTGCTCTTCCAGAAGGAAATATTGATTCTGTAGATATTGCACAAGAATATGGAACTACTGAGGAGGATGAAATGTATAAGAGTGATGCTTTGCGACTTCTGTCTTTTGCTAATTGGGATGTAAGAACATCATTTGTCTCATCTGACAGTTTGTCATTATAATAATACAGATCTACTAACATTTATTGTTTCCTGGTACAGGTAACATAGATACATATACATATTTTAAGGAAAAATCTATTACAATGTTGTCTAATTCTAATAAGAAAGATTAGTCATAGAGTTTATGGGGTCAATGATGATTTATAAAGCTCACAAGAGTATTTGTAGAAATATTGTTAGTAAGCTATGACTATGTTATAACTCAGGGGAAAAACATGACATGTACTCTGGACATCCATTCATTGTTAGTTCTACTACCTACTAAAATAAATGCTAGAACTAAACAGCGATGATGTTTTTTCGATATTACACAATTCTAATTAGTTTCTTTTAACTGTCTTCTTAAGTCTACCCTTAATTGGAATAATAATAAATAAAATTATATTTTATGTTTAAATATTTAAAATGCTATAAAAAATTTCATGTTAAAAAATCATTTACTATTCATTTTCTTGTTGTGTTTTATTGTAAAATATTTACATTATGTCTGGTAGCCATTGTGTATCTTGTGAGGTTTATTTGGCAATAAGACTTGGTGACGGCTCTTGGCTTTTTCAGTTCTTTTATGTCTAAGAAACCACCTTAGCATTGTATAGCCATAGCCCTGATGGTTGATGATCTGTGTAGGTAATACAACCCCACTTAAAAAATATTAATGAAATATACTATTCAATTCAACTGTATACAAAAGGAATTATGATTAATAAACAACTTAACCCTTTTTAACTAAAAACATTGTAAGTGATATTAGCATAGAGATATGGTGGTCTCTCTATTCTTATATCTATGGATGTCAGTCTCACTTCATTTAATAAACACAAGACACATATATTAGCCTTAATGCTCTTTATCATCATAATATTATAATATATGCTGGTAACTCATAATTTGCTGATATGTTGCTTAAGATGTTTCTAGTTTGAAATTACAGTTATAGTAGTGATTACATACTGCATACAAGTTCTTTTTTATCTGTTAAAACAAATATGGCTATCTTGAGCTGAATAATTTTGTATGATGAAGTAGCTGAGTAATATCATAAATTACTTACATAATATGTAATTTAAAAGTAACAGAACAATTATTGATAGTATTACCAAAAACTTGTATTATCCACTTTTATCTACTTATTTTTCACAAGCAGAACATAGCCATAAGTTGGTAGGAATTAGGAACCTTATAAACTTAATTTATTTACAAAGAAAGAGAGTTTTTGAAATAACTTATATTTTATTTACTTATAGGATACATCAGTGTCCCGTGAAGCACTCGTAAGTGCTGGCTTTTATCACGCTGGTGAAGGACGTCTGCGCTGTGCATGGTGTGGAGGGGAACTTGCACCATTTAGCAGATTTGGTTCACTAGGGCAACCACTTGATGTACATAGAATGTAAGTTTTCATATAGATATATATACAATTAATCTTTAACTGACATAATGGGCAAAATATTATTTATATATAATTTTCGTCTATATCATAATATATGTTGATGACTTGTTTTATGACTAATACTATAAGACTACTGGCAAACTTCTGATAGGGAAGTGTGTTGAAATGGATGTAATGAATGTAAGAATTAGAATTTCTTTAAGTGGTATTTATTATAAACAAGAATATATGGTCTAATTCATATGTGTATGTTGCCCAAATGCTTTCGGGCAGGAGCCTTAATAAGATCCTAGCTTCACTTGTATGTTTGTTTGTATGTTTGAAACCGACTCCTTTGGGCGTGATTTTGACTGACTTTAAACGGTCAGAATTCGATCAAACTTTGTAGATATATCGAGAACCGATGACAATACACTAATTTAAAAAAAAATATTTAAAAAAATATAGTTTGAAAAAAAACTTTTTAAAACTATAATTTTTTTTTCTTGTTTTTGTACATTGAATATCACCCCCGGAAGTAGATCACAAAGTCATTGTATTCAAATGATAAAAAATGATCAGTAAAAAAGTAACATTACATTAGGGATGAACGGATATTGGTCGGATACCGGATATCCAGTGGTTTATTACCGAAAACCACACGATGCCTTTAAATAATGTTAAGTACCCAGGTAATTGTATTTATTTACTACTAGCTGTACCCTGCCACGCTTCGCTGTGGCACATTGTGGTTGCATTGAAGAGAGATGAGGCACAAAACTGACGCGAGAAATAGATAAAAACCATCTTTACAGCGGTTTGTATATCGTGTCAAAATGTAAGCTCAATCGTCCAAAACTTTTTGATTTTTTTAAGTGTACCCAAACCAATTTAACATTTTTATATCTTTAGATAATTTGAACTAGTCAGTCAAGAAATACTAGTTTCCCGTAAACCCCGCAACAAGAATGTTAAAGCTAATACTTAAGACTAGCCTTAGGCCTCCCAAAGCAGATAGGAGAGGAGACGAGAGATGTGTTTTGAATAAACCCATCAGATTTCCTTATTTTCACATCTCTCACGTTCAGAAATCTTGAAAGATTACATTAAAATGTAATTACATTTTATTTGCCCTCTGCATTAATTGTGCAAGGAATTTGATAAATAATTCATTATATTACTAAGCTGCAATTAAAAAACGAATTGGTTAAAAAGTTAAATAACGTTATATTACAAATATGGGAAATGTCACGTTACCTGATGCTGGGCTCACTTCATAGATAATATCTTCTCCCAGTACCAATAATGCCATTGTTATCCATAGTCTGGTGATAAGGCAACGGGGTAACAATAAAAGTGTAGTGACATTGTTACCATGAAAAATGATTAGATAAATGCCACACCCTGCGCTCTTCACTCTTCTTGCAACAAAGGCATATGTATAATAAATAGTGAGTCAACTCCTTTGAGAGACTGTTAAATACCTACATAACTGACTGACCAAAACTGTGCCATGGTTGTCAGAAGAACGGTCACGATCGTAGACAGCTAGGTAAAAATAGAATTTGCATAATTTAACTATATTTTACCTATATAGCAGTATCTCGGGTTCCTATTCCGTTTAAAATATTGAATAAGAAGTTGAATAAATTATATAAAATAGGATAAAATAATACATTGGAGAATATTTTCTTTGGTTTCGTGATTTCAGTTGGTGAAAATATTGGGCAAAGATTTTGGTAACATTGAATTCTTACGACCATGTGATGGCTACAGCATTCGCATCACGGTATTCATGTAATTATTTGTAATATAATAAATATTATTAAAACATGTATGTAATTATTATACAATTAAAACAGTAATAATAATACATATAACCACAAAAATACTTATATTATTTTGCGTATGATATTATAATATGTAAATGTATATAAAACCACCAAGTACATCGAGAGTTTTTTATGCTGTTTTTTGGTATATTATTAGTAAAGTAAAGAGATAAAAGTACTAATCAAATAATAAAAATAACGCGTGCAACTGATGTACGTGACACTTCTGGACCGGTCAGCAAGCGAAGCCGGCCGGACTCCGCTCCCCTTCATATCTCGCCCCAGAGTTGCTCCTCTAAGTAGCTAAGTTGACTCACTTGTAGTATTTGTTACACATATGACAAAGTTAAAAAACATTGGACAACGACGTTATGATTGACTGTTATCTAATTTCGGGCTTCTACCTTTTTAGGCTTCAAAATCGAGAAAATAGTACGCGTGTCACTGAAAAGTTTTTTCTTAAAACATAGTGCGAAGATTTTTAAAACTGATCAATTTATAGCATTGTCCAAATTATACTCTATTAAATAGTATATAATTAATATGCTTTACAAGGTTCAAAACTATGGATAGCGAACAATAAAATTTACGTTTATCTTCTTCGTTTCACTGTCGCAAAATATTAATTTTATATAAAAGTAAACAACGCTCGCATATTTTTAAGAGAAATATCGTAATAAAAAGATTATTGTAAATATCGTTATCCAAAGGTATTTTCCTCGATGCGAGCACGCTGCGTCATTGGAGGCGGCACAACGGTCTGCAACTATATCTCCACCATCATCCCCAAGATTGGATGCACCACGTGTTCAAACACCACCGCAGCCCTCGGAGAATCATCCGCAGTCGTATGTTATTGTTAATAAATTATTTTAAATAATAATAACTAAAAATAATAATAACTTCACACACATCTCACACACGGCAGTCTGATCTCTAACTAGGCAGAGCCTGTGTTATGGTTGTCAGACAAATGATTGTGCTCATCACACAAATATTTGTCCTTTGAAATCAAATCGTGGGAATCGAACCTCCCCTAGCTTAGCAGTCAGTCACTATCCGCTTGACCAACAGGTCCGTCGACAGGTTTTAATTATTTTATACATGGCAATTTTACAGTTTCTACTTTTTGGCTTATGTCCAGCAGTGGACTATTAAAGGCTGTTGATGATGATGATGATGACTTTTTGGTCTTGTATAGGTAAAATGGTGTTAGTTAGTAATGCAGTTTTTTTTCTCACCAATTTCTTTTTTCCGTTTGGAAATATTTGGGTACGACTCTGCCGACTACCCGACCAACCTCAATGATCTTACAAACAAAAAAGTAATGTATAACAGGTCAAGATCACCGTGTTATAACAATAAATCATAAGAAGCAATCCAAAGAAAACTTCAGGAGTTATGGTTTGAAAACTCATATCTCACTTGAAGATCTGCATTCTCTTATCGCTCAAATATGTATGCTCTATCTTATTAACGCATTTCCAAAATGCGTTACGACTTTAAAAAACAACACACAATACAACAAAGAGTTTCTTATCTGGTCTAATTTACTTCCGTTACCTGAACTGTTTGCATATTCACTTAGTAATTTCGCATTGGAATATAAATTCATGCTTCCCGTATTATAGTAAGTTTGGTTCAAATAAGTCATTGAGACGGCAGTGGTCGGTTATGTTGCACGCTGCTAAACTGTAATTAGTACCGATATTGTTAATTAAAAAATAAATTCTTTCGCGAATAAATATCAATAGTAAACTTTGTTAAATTTGTGTCTGTTGTCTGAAAGTTACTTAGTTACAAAGCCTTGAGCTAATCTACTGTTTAAAATGCAAACATATAAAGCGTAATAGTCTGTTTTAAAATTAATAAGGTGTACCTAAAATTTGCCGGTAGCTCATCGAATCTATACGATTAGTACTTACAGTACTTCGTGTTGTGTTCTAAACACGTTTGGACCGTAACGTGTTAGTGATAAGCAGAGTAGAATGATTAGTAGATGCGCGTTCTACGGTGCAGTGAATAGCTATGTCCTTCACGTTCCACTTTGTCCTACAGTCCCAGTGGGCCCGCTACTCAACAGGTTCAGACTTAATTTTGTTTAGTTCAGTGCCGGCAGAATGTGTAAATATACTAGTTTTGTTTCTATTCCTTGAACACGTATACCGCAATGTGTTGTTTCCGATATAACACTTTCAAATTTGTACTAATCAAAGTGCCAACATGGCTTAAAGCCAGGATAGTCTGATAATAATGTATAGAAACAAAATGCTTAGTATGATTCTCCGAGTTTTAGAATCGATGTCACAAGCTTGGCTTAGTTTGGGCCTACATAGATAGCAATGTGTAATCATCATCATCGACATTATCATCTTCACCAACGACGTCTTGTGTTTGCAGAGACACAGAGGTCAGGGAGATCAACGGGCCTTTGTTTTTAATTGTTAAACCAAACAATAAAAGTTAGTATTTTGACTATGACAAAGTATGAGTCTTAAGTTTGTTATTATCTCTACAAGTTATTGGTTAGGAACGATCGTATTACTTAACTTCAAAAGATTTTCTGCTTTTTTACTGACAATCTCAAACCCTAAAAATTAGATCTGGCGCTGAACACAACGAGCGGGTACTAAACATGGGCGGTACCTGGCGAGCATTGGGTGTAGTGAGTGGAGGCGCAAGGCATCCACAGTATGCATCGTTAGCAGCCCGTCTTGCAAGTTTCGAACGTTGGCCAGCGGATCGACATCAAGTTCCGAGGACTCTTGCCGAAGCTGGTTTCTACCATACAGGCACAGACGATCAGGTAAAATAACTATCGAAAGTTAAGTACGATAGAAGATCTCTTGACCAGACCGAAATTGACACAATCAAGATGAGCTGCCAGTATTTTTGATTCTGATCCCACCGAACCTTGGCAGAGCATTAAATTTTTTTATCTTTTTAAATTTGTGCGTTTCGGAAGTATCTTAAAGAATAAAAGAAGTTATTTGTAAATAAGGAAATGACATAAGGAAATGCCATTTTTTTTTAATCATTTACCTTGGTTTTGACGAAACAGTCGTTATGAACATATAAGTAAAAAAACTAGTGTAACTCTCAAAAGTTGCTAATACTTACTAACTATAATTGAAGACGTCAGGATTAGAACTGGGTTCAGAATAACTACCTTCTAACTTCAACACATCACAAAGTACTCCTTTTTCATGCCATAGAAGCAAACTACATGGACACTTGCAACTAAGAGTCACTATTGAGCTGCCGCCATTTGCGCTCTCTCCCCAGGATTAGGGGGAATTGAGGGAATTGAGGCTCCGGTAACCTCACGCCCTTGGTGGTTTTCTGTGAGGCTGCGGTATAACTCCGGTCAAGCCGGGCCATTTCTGCCGAAGCACGGCCCTCCCACGGTTAATAATAATAATAATAACTTAACACATCTTATACTGTACTATGGTAACGAGGCTGCTGATAAACATACTTATATTTTTCTAAATACATACATATTATGGATAAATTACAACTAGACACGAAACAAATGACCGTGCCCATCACACAATATTTGTTTTGCGTGGGAATCAAACCCACGCCCTCCGGCTTAGCTATCAGGGTCACTAATCACTAGACCAACAGGCCTGTCAAATGTGAAACCTTTTGCGCTGCAGTACGATTGAGACAGTATTTAAAATAAGTGCAATTTTTTTATGTAATAAACAAACTTATCGTTTGCTATGATTCCAACTTTTAGGTCCGTTGTTTTTACTGTGATGGTGGGCTCGGCAAATGGGAGGCAGGCGATACTCCGTGGTCAGAGCATGCGCACTGGTTTCCTCACTGCGGGTACGTGTTGCTCGTCAAAGGGCAGGAGTACATCGAATCTTGCCGCAACCGAAGCTCTGTACAACGTACTGTGAGTTTACTTTTTACTGTATTGCATTATTTATAATATAATATCACGTTATTAAAACTTTGATAATATTTACTATGTATTAAAAATTTTGCTTAAATCATCTAGTATATGTTTTATACATATATTTTGGCTATTTCATGTTGACTACTAGTTTCCTATAGTAGTATTCCTGTGAACTTTAATATACAGGAAACATCATCAGGAAATCCCCATATTGGGTTCTTCATAAAGTTCTTAGATTTTTTTTTTACTGTAATCTTCTGCTTTACTACTTATTATATGTACACAGACATTTTAAAGTTGCTTGATGCGTTGACAGGTATCAGCTGAGAGCGGTCTCAGTGCAAGGCGTCGAACTCAAGGTGTCAATTTACCTATCACAGACAGTCAGGTAAACGAGTTGATCAACAAAATAGTTAGTAGTAAAATGAATTGTTGTAATAAAAATATATATAGGTTATATCGTTTCTATTACAAAAAGAAAAAAACAATAACCAAACTAATTAGCAATTATCAAGTAGATAAAAAAGAGCAGTTTTAGCCATGTTTGGCCTGAATAAGTGAGTACTAATTCAAATTTATTAAATTAAATTGCGCACATATCCTAAATAATTGGGAAATTTTGTAAGACTTAATTTCGGATAGAATCTTTTTTTGTAACCTTATTTGCCCGGTATATAACACATATGCATGGTTATAGTTTACATTTCAGATTAATTAAAAAAAGTTAAATATTTTTATATTAGATCTTAGAGTAACAAGACAGTATATTCCACTTATTTAAAGTATAACTATACTTAATTAAAACCATGTACCTACATAGTTTTAAATTTTTTTGTAATTAAAAATTGCTTTACTTCAGTCAAATAGTTATCATCATCATCAACAGCCTTTAGTAGTCAACTGCTGGACATAGGCCTCTCCTTAGAAAACAGGTTTCGGCCTACTATACCACGCTGGCCAGATGGGTTGGTATATGATTTGTTTCAAGTTTTCCTTCTCTTAACAGTGCAGTTGTCCTGCGTAGTTGCTCCCTTAGTCGGCTCTTACGACACCCACGGGATGATCAGGGGTGGTGACACTCCGTATTCTTAATCCGTCACCTCACGGATAGGTGAAATAATGAATGCTTATCAATTTTTCATCCAGGTGGAGGAATGTATGGAGAGTAGTATAACGTTGGCAGCTTTAGGCGCAGGATTGGACGCGGCCAGGGTACGAAGAGCAATAGCACGTAGACTTCGAGTTACTGGTGTGTGTTACATAATATTTTATTTTGAGGTTTACTATACTGGTACTTGCGTAATAGCTTTAAGTTATAATGTATAAAAAAGGTAAGGCTAGGTGTAGAAAATCAATTCTTTTCTCATCCCACGGAAACCCTACATAATTTCGGGATTAAAGTAGCCTATGTAATATGTAATCCAGGGTGTCAACTACCTCTATAACAAATTTTATCAATATTGGTCCAGCCCTTTGAGCGTGAAGAAGTAACAAGCATACAAACACACACACTCACAATCTTTCACGTGTATGAGTTCAGTGTTAAGTGTAATGCTTTAACATAGCTTACTAATGTACTCGTAAGTATTAATAATTATCTTGCAATACAATTCATAAACAACTAAACATTATTTCGAACTTCGTGATAGCCAGGGTGAAAGGGTATCTCAGTCTAGAATAGTATGATGATGTATGTAACATAATAAGTTGTAAGTGGCTCGTGGCTAAGTGGTAACTGAGTAGTTTACACATTGCAAAGTCAAGCGATCCTAGCCAGCTCAGTCTATGGATCGGTAACCACTCTTAACACATTGAGACCCCTCCGTTCCTCGGAGAGCATGCCGTCGGTCCCGGTTGCAATACTAACATTTGTGGCAATCGTTACGGGTAGTTTGAACCTAAAAGTCTTTCTACAGAACTTCGATATCGCCTAGAACTTGGGTTGTAGAGATCTGATGGCAGTGGCTCCACGTAAAAATCGAAGTTCAGTCGTATTGTAGACTTAAAGCCGACCCCGACCTAGTTTGGGAAAAATGCTCCTAAGAAGAAGTTGTAAGAGTTATTTATTTATTTATTTTCTTATCTTTACAGAGTTTTCTATTGTTTCATTCTAATGCCTTATATACGCCCGGTGCAATCTTCTGCAATTGCGACCCATCCATAATATTTAAAAAAAGTAGTCCACATTTGTACTATGCTAGTTTGCATATTACGAAATTAAATTGAAAATATTTATATTAGCCTTTCGTTTTACAGGCGTTCCTTTTAATTCTTCGGAGGCATTAATCGATGCGGTGCTAGATGAGCAACTGAATGAAGAACCTTGGGGAGTATCACCCAGCAGACAACGACTTGCTAGAGATATTTTGGCCGAAACCTTAAGAGACTTCGCACCGCAATCTGGGTAACATTATTACATTAATTTTTATTTTTAGGGTTCCGTACCTCAAAAGCAAAAAAAAACGGAACCCTTATAGGACCACTTTGCTGTCCATCTGTCTGTCAGTCCGTCCGTCTGTCTGTCTGTCAAGACCCTTTATCTCGGGCACGCGTGGAAGTATCGAGTTGAAATTAAAACCACATACTCAATTCTACAGTCAGTTGAAGCTGTGAAAAAATCAAAGTTCTATGTTAACGTTATTTCGACACTCAAGGGCATCAAAATTTAGAGGGTAGTTACCGTTGACCTAGAACTATGAAATTTGGCAAGTAACATCGTCTTATACTACAATTACAGGACAAAATCTGAAACTATGTATTTGAATTCAATTATAAAAATATAGTCTTTATTTAAAGTAGGTAATCAATCATCTAGCTATCATCTATCTATTTCATTTATAAAACGTAATAATATAAGTAATTATAGGTTTTGGAAACTGAATTTCGGACAAAGCTCGGAAAAAACTACAAGACTCGTTTCCAGAACTATTTATATATATATATATTTATGTACCTGTAAATTTGTACGGAAACTTCGGTGGGCGAGTCCGACTGCACTTGTCCGGATTTTTTAAATTATTGTATCTGTCTTTTAGTAGTCGCCCATGTTCATTCTGCATTTTAGGTAGGAATCTACAAGTATGGCGGTCTCGGCTTGTCGGGTCTATTAGTAGGATGTTTAAGATGTTTCTTAACCAAAATAAATACAAAAGCATATTGTATCGTATTCGGATGATTACCACAGGCACGTAACAGGTAACTAAATATTCAGATTATGTAGACTTTAAAAAGAGTACAACAAATATGTTGAAAAGGTAATGAGTTAGCCGATAGAAAGAAACTCTTCTCAATTAATATAACTAAAGGGAATTATAGTCCATCTAATCTGTTACTTTTAATTGGTGATGAGCAAAATGTATCCTAAGCTGAATAGATAGATACATATCATTTCGCTTTAAAGATATATATCACTCATCTAGTGCATTTACCTCACTAGTTAAGTGATATAATTCAATTGGTTTGTCTCTCAATTGATTCATTTCTTCGTCAAGATCGTTTAGCAAGTGAGCTAGCTGGCTCTGTATATATCACTCACTTCAAACCTCTCCCGCTCATACAAACCTTTCTTTATTATGAAAATAAAGGAAGGTTTGTATATTAATTAATTTAGTTCTTGGAACTGCATTTCATCTATTTTTTTAAATACCATTTTTATGCATTTTGATAAGATTACATAATCATTAACACCATTTTAAAAAATAATTAAAAGAAATATGTACTTATAATATATATTTTTTGTACTTTTTATTAGGTTGTATATTAGAAATCATACTTATTAAATTGATTTTCTTTTATAATTGTCATGCTTAATTGATTCATTCTCACAAAATTATTAGGTAATGTTAAGCTTTGATTCTATAGAAATAATGTACATTTTGCCTAAAGAAACTAAATTAGCGTCAACTCAACCATCATAACTTATTTATTTCTAGTCTCACTCGCTTATGAAACAAAGATCGGCGTCATTGAGCTAGTGATCTAGAGATTTAGAACCATAGACATAGAGAATGGACGTCGCGTTCCGTAATCAGTTATGCGGTGAATACAGACCGAAGAGTACGAGAGAGGCAAAGCGAATGTGCGGCCAGTAGTTGTCTCTTTCTAGTATTCTGATTGGTTTACGTCACTGGGTAAACTTACAAAGAAGTAAGGTTATGAGTATCAACTGTATACATTTTGAGTAAATTATTGTAGTTTATGTTTGTTAATTTTTAAAAAAGTAGCTTAACTTGTTCACTTAATTTAAAAAAAAGATTAGTTTTCTATTTATTTAAATATTATACTACCGTAATAAGTTAAAAATTAAGCCTTGCAGAATAGAGACAGGCATTGGCCGCAGAGTCGCTTTGTCTCTTTCTAGAGAGTGGTCACTTTAGTGAGGATAACGCTCAGTTCATTCTCTATGGCTAGAACTGAGTGTGAGTGAGTGATGCATTTTATGGGAGTAAATGATATATATATATCTTTTACATCACTCACTCAGGAGCTACACAACGCTACTTTTCATAGTAAGTCGACAGTTGATAGTGTCTGTTGTTTTGGTGTTTTCTTTTTAATTTTAATGATAATGGAAGAAAATTTTAAACTTGCTCGTTCAGGAGCTATAAAACGTGTGAGACATGAACATCAGTGGCGACGAGTGCGGGAAAAGGCAGAAAGGTAACCAATAATTTATTAGTATTTTGGCCGTTATGGTATGGTATTTAATTTACACAAAACTGTTTCTGAATTGAATGCTTTTTTTAATTTTGCAACTGCAATAATTGTTTGACATACACGTATGGTTAATGAACCAATGGTTAATGGTATACAAACTACAAACTGAAAGTTATTTCAGTTTTTAGTTTGTATATATATACTACCCGTGCGCTCTAAGTTTGCCGGTGACGGTGTGACGTCACTCAAGGGATAAGGTTAGCAAAAAACGTTAACACATGTACAAATCATTTTTATATTTACATAGTACAAAATAAAGTCGCTTTTTGTGTTGTACGTTTAGATCATTTAACCTAAGCATCAAGGATTTTAATGCGATTTTCACCAATAGAGTGATTCAAGAGGAAGGTTTATATATATATATTTAAGACAACTCCCGCATTAGGAATATATCCTGTGTCGCGGGGGATTTGACAAACATACATGAAACGGACACCCAGACTCAGAACGACAATTTGTGTATCACACAAATTGTCGTCCCATGTGGGGATCGGACCCACAACACTCATATGTTAATACCCACAACACACATATGTTTAATACATGCACATAATAGTATAGAAAATGCAGAATTTGAAAGATTTACGACACGACACTACATAAAAGTCAGCGAGGGTATATGTCTATCTCCTAAGGATAATCCACATTAACCATTTTTATCTTTTAAATATTACAAAAAATAATGGCTTATTTACGAAGCTATTTTGAACAATACAGTATTATTCCTTATTCAAAGAAATACGTTTGATACATTGTGCTTGTAATGTAGATCAAAATTGCCTTTTACATCATACCATTAAAGTAAAAATCTTAGTAGATATTACAGCCTTGTATTAAACTAACAGATATTGAGAAAACTTTAAAATTAAGTAAAATCACACACGCTTGCGATTAGTCATGCATGAGCAGACTGAGCGTCAGCGATGACGTTGCTAACGGTGCGAAGATGGCGACTCAGCGGTGCGGTAGGGGGAGGGGACGCGCATTCCACGCACCGGCAAATCAGATTAGAGCGCACCGGTTATAGGCTGTACTGAAGTCGATACCAATGAGAGCCAATGTACCTATAAGTTGTAATTGCTGTCAACAAGTTAACCAAGATATCTTTCAAAATCATTCGTTAATGATTTTCTTGATCCGTTAATAAAATGTTACAATGTCAAATCAGTTCAATTACTTTTCTACATAATGTTCACGATAATTAACGATTAATCTCATCGGAATATGAATAAAAGTTATTAGTACCTTTCTTTAAATTAATTAATTTAAAATAATCATTTCTTTGTTACTACGTCTAATCTACAGTACAGTCAACATTATTAATAAAAAAATGTTTGTTTCTAACTGATAAATACTAAATACACTAGTGACCTCATTCATAAATATTCATGTAAACATATCGTTTTTATGTAATTTATATTTTATGCATGGTAAGTTTAAAAAACGTTGGAATGCGTTTTGTTAACGACACTTGAACGTTTAGTTATTGCAGTTGTAAAATTTTTTTGACAAGAACTTATTTACTTTTAGCAAGGTTCTAAAAATATGATAATTACATGAAAATAGTCGGGATGACTCACTTTATATACAGTACATATCTCATAACCATCCATCATATATTACTATGGGCATAGGATCTGCCGCTCTCCTTTTAATAGGAAATAGTTTAAATAACCTATGAAAGGGAAATAATTAATGTTTTATAATCCATAATATATTTTTAATGACAAGCATCATAACACAAAAGACAAAAAGCTTTATTTATGTAAAGGCTTTTTATAGTTTTGAAAACTTGTTAATTATACCCGCGCCGCGTTACTTTCTGTACGCACTAATCGGCCAGCGTAACTTTTTTTTCATAGTTTTGGTTTGTTATATTTTTCACAATAGAATAGTGTGTAGTAGTAGTAATTTTAACTCGTGTTTTGTTTCTCATGTAAGGGAATATTTATGTTCTTAAAGAGATTTTTTTTCATTAACCTCTTATCTAAAACGTGAATAGACGCGCAATAGAATAAAGAAGGATATAGTTGTGAAAAATTATAAAAAAAACATGCGCTTTCGTAAAAAAGAATAGAGGTGGAGATCGCACACCAAACAAAAATGACCGAAAACTCCAAGAAGTCAAAACTTTTATAGAATCTTTTAAGTGAAATATTGCTGGTCTTCTACAGAAAGGAATTATTTGGATTCGATATTCAATATTATAAAAAAATTGGCAAATATTTAATGAAAAAGCAGTGAACCCAGTCAAACAGAGCTATTTTCAAAGAAATTTTCAATGTTGAATTTGGCAATCCAAGAACAGATGTTTGCTCCAAATTTACAGAATTGAATGAACAAATCAAGAATAAACAAAATCAATCCGTTACAGCCAAGTTTATGAGTATGATTGAAAAGACCATTCATAAAAGAAAAGCAAAAAATATCTATGAGTTATTAAATGAGCGACAAGACGGAATGTTGACACTAGGCATGGGACAAAATCACAGTGAACTGTGAAAGACCGTTGATTTATCATCCGATTTTTTCGTACGAAGGTTAGGGTTACTACTTACTCACGCGCTGTTGCCAATAGCTGTTTTCAGACGATGCATAAAGACCCTATTTCGAATATTCAACAGTAAATCTAGTAATTATTTTATTATATATAGCTACCATTCCCTACTTTATAACTAAAAAATACTAGACTTACTGTTAAATAGCGTCTAACCTACCTACCTAACCTTACCTACGTACTCAAAAATCGAATGAAAAATAACAGTTCACTGTGATTTTGTCCCATGTCTAGTGACACTATCTTTTGACGGTCAAAAGAACCGAGTCCTACCTCAAATACCAGAACAAATTACTTATTACAGCAGACAGCTCCACATCTATAATTTTGCAGATGTATTATCAGTGGAAGTAAAGAAACTTAATAATGATACAGTCAATTTAAATACTTCGAATGAACATGAATACAAAAAAGGACCCAATGAAATTGCTTCTGCAGTATATCACCGATTAAATTCATTAAATTTTGATGAAATTCAAGCTTTGGGACTTGTGGCTGATGGTTGCGGAGCGCAAAACTAAAATCCTATGTTTATTGGAATGTGCTGTGTGTTGTGAATTGTTATGTAATTCTCCAAATAACATAAAAATCATTGAACTGATTTTCCTCATACCAGGTCATTCGGTTTTACCTGCTGACAGAGTTTTCGATAACATTGGAAAGGAATTATAAAGGAAGCAGGTAATTGTGCAACCAGAAGACTATCATGATATTTTTTTAAAGTATGGAACAGTTGTGAAAATCCAGATAGTTTAGGACTGGAAAACTGCTTTACAAGATATTATTAAGCCGCCTTGTCAGTGGCATTTACAGTTTAAGGTGTTTTGTGATTGAAGCGCCTTTACTTTTATAAATTTTAGTTATCATCACTGATTTTTTTATCACCACTGATAAAAAAATGTGCTGTAACACGTTGGTTTTACTTTTATTACTAAAATGAATGATGTAGTTTTTTACATTTTTATTTAAGGGTATAAATTAAGATCTAATTTTTATGACACTATTAGACAGTTATATAATACTAGCTGCGCCCCGCTGTCACCCGGGGTTGTTGTTGTACCTTGCTCAGCCCACGAAAACACTACATATTTCGGGATAAAAAGCCTGTGTGCTCTTCCAGACTAGATTATATCTTTGTGCCAAATTTCATACAGATCCGATCAGATCAGTGAAAGAATAAGCATTCATATATCCATACAAACTTTAGCCTTTATAATAATAGTAAGGTAAATTATATAATATTAAACAACAATAACGTTAATACAATCTCATTACAGTATAATACCAATGGTGCAATGGGAGGATAGACCTGATAGTGCAAGATCTCAATCTGACATGACGAGGTCGCCGTCACCAGAATCTGTACCCGCACCGCATTCACATCCTCAGCCAACTGATAGTGTCGTATGCAGAGCGACAGCACAATCTCGTACTACTGACGAAACTCGCATGAGCGAAAGCGATATATCCGGGACAGAGGTTACATCAAAACCGGCAGATAACAAATTGTCGTTAGAAGAAGAAAACAGACAGCTCAAGGAAGCTAGATTGTGTAAAGTTTGCATGGACTGTGAGGTGAGTCACTGATGTATTATAATTTATGTATTGTGTGGGGCACCGTCTTTACTGTATTATCTTTTATAATTTTGAATTTTATAGTTAAAAATTTGAAATTACTTGCACACACACCTTTATTATTATTATTTTCGTGCGGAAGGGTATCCTTCGAACACCCCCTCGGGACTACCCATTGAGTAGTTATGAGAGAATCGAACCAACTAAAAACTGCTCGCCGTCTCGGGTACCAGTAGCCCGGGAACCAGGTGTGACCTAGAAAGAGAAAGGAAATCCCTTGTACCCCGACGGAGCTTGGGCCATCTACGGCTTACAGATGGCCCACTCGTGTGGGGACGGACCAGTGGGGGTATCCACGATGTCCGTTCCCTTCTTCAGGCCAGCTCTGCCTACGATAACTGTTACGTTCCCGGGCCTGGTGAACTGGGAGAGTTCTAAACCTCTCCCGTAAATCGTGCCGTAGCCCCTGATAACCTCAGTGGTCATCACTCTCTAAGGTTGTTGCATTAGTGCGACGATGCTGGCCTTCAGGGCCTTGTAAGACCATTGGGTTTGATTTTACATACTATCACAAGAAACAAATAATTATAACTAGGAAAAGTATCAAGCGTGCTTACTCATCTCTATCTCTATCTCTATATATATAAAAATGAATTGCTGTTCGTTAGTCTCGCTAAAACTCGAGAACGGCTGGACCGATTTGGCTAATTTGAATTATTTTGAATTATTTGTGGAAGTCCAGAGAAGGTTTAAAAGGTGAATAAATATGAAAATGCTCGTTTTTTTTTTAATTCCGAACATTTTTGAATTGTTTTCATAAAAAAAAGGATTCCTTTTGTTTGTTTATTTTATACAAAAGTTTAGGTCTTTTATTTATCAATTGAGGCAGTACGAAGTCTGCCGGGTCAGCTAGTAGTGCATAAATATCAAAGGACAATGGCAGCCATGCACGGGACTGTACCGCATTGCGTATCTCATGGTAGGGATTATTGTTGTATTTACTTGGTTGGTAATATCATTAACAATTAGTTTTATTCATCAGATTTTTAGAAATTGCACACAGGTTGTACTGAAGTCGATACTAATGACAGATGGCTGTCACAAATGAGTCGTTATTGCTGTCAATAAGTTAACCTAGATATCTTTCAAAATCATTCTCAAAATCATTTTCTTGATCCGTGAATAAAATGTTGCCCTGTCAAAGCAATTTACTAACTTTTTTACATTATGTTCACAATTAATCTAATCGATTTGAATAAAAGTTATAAATAAATATCTTTTCTTTAATTTATTTGATTTTGAAATAATTATTCCTTTATTACTTCATCTAAGCTGTACAGTCATCATTATTAATAAAGAAATGTTTGTTTTTAACTACTAAATACACTAGCGAGCTCATTAATTAATCTTGATGTAAACATATCATTTTTATGTAATTAATTTTGTTTAATGAATTTTAGTTATCACAGTTGTAACAATTCTTTGAGAGTAATTAATTTGCTTATAGCAAAGTTACAAAAATATGATAATTACATGAATTTTTTTAGGCCGACACACTATAGAAACGGTACAAATCTCATAACCATCCAGTATAAAACACTAGGGGTACCGGTTCTGCCGTTCTCCTTTGTAAAATTTAATTTTGTGAAATAGTTTTGATAGAAATTACAAGTAAGAAAATGACTGTGTACAGGTGAGCGTGGTGTTCCTGCCGTGCGGACACCTAGTGTCGTGCTCGCGGTGCGGCGCAGCGCTGGACGCGTGTCCGCTCTGCCGCGCCAGCGTGCGAGCGCTCGTGCGGGCCTACCTCGCCTGACCTACTGCCACTGCGCCAGGTACGTAGCTACTGCCGCTCTGTACTGGACGTGCGGGCCTACCTCGCCTGACCTACTGCCACTGCGCCAGGTACGTAGCTACTGCCGCTCTGTACTGGCCGTGCTTGCCTACCTCGCCTGACCTACTGCCACTGCGCCAGGTACGTAGCTACTGCCGCTCTGTACTGGACGTGCGGGCCTACCTCGCCTGACCTACTGCCACTGCGCCAGGTACGTAGCTACTGCCGCTCTGTACTGGACGTGCGGGCCTACCTCGCCTGACCTACTGCCACTGCGCCAGGTACGTAGCTACTGCCGCTCTGTACTGGACGTGCGGGCCTACCTCGCCCGACCTACTGCCACTGCGCCAGGTACGTAGCTACTGCCGCTCTGTACTGGCCGTGCGGGCCTACCTCGCCTGACCTACTGCCACTGCGCCAGGTACGTAGCTACTGCCGCTCTGTACTGGCCGTGCGGGCCTACCTCGCCTGACCTACTGCCACTGCGCCAGGTACGTAGCTACTGCCGCTCTGTACTGGACGTGCGGGCCTACCTCGCCCGACCTACTGCCACTGCGCCAGGTACGTAGCTACTGCCGCTCTGTACTGGCCGTGCGGGCCTACCTCGCCTGACCTACTGCCACTGCGCCAGGTACGTAGCTACTGCCGCTCTGTACTGGACGTGCGGGCCTACCTCGCCTGACCTACTGCCACTGCGCCAGGTACGTAGCTACTGCCGCTCTGTACTGGACGTGCGGCCTACCTCGCCTGACCTACTGCCACTGCGCCAGGTACGTAGCTACTGCCGCTCTGTACTGGCCGTGCGGGCCTACCTCGCCTCTGACCTACTGCCACTGCGCCAGGTACGTAGCTACTGCCGCTCTGTACTGGACGTGCGGGCCTACCTCGCCTGACCTACTGCCACTGCGCCAGGTACGTAGCTACTGCCGCTCTGTACTGGACGTGCGGGCCTACCTCGCCCGACCTACTGCCACTGCGCCAGGTACGTAGCTACTGCCGCTCTGTACTGGCCGTGCGGGGCCTACCTCGCCTGACCTACTGCCACTGCGCCAGGTACGTAGCTACTGCCGCTCTGTACTGGACGTGCGGGCCTACCTCGCCTGACCTACTGCCACTGCGCCGGGTACGTAGCTACTGCCGCTCTGTACTGGACGTGCGGGCCTACCTCGCCTGACCTACTGCCACTGCGCCAGGTACGTAGCTACTGCCGCTCTGTACTGGACGTGCGGGCCTACCTCGCCTGACCTACTGCCACTGCGCCAGGTACGTAGCTACTGCCGCTCGTACTGGACGTGCGGGCCTACCTCGCCTGACCTACTGCCATGCGCCAGGTACGTAGCTACTGCGCTCTGTACTGGACGTGCGGGCCTACCTCGCCTGACCTACTGCCACTGCGCCAGGTACGTAGCTACTGCCGCTCTGTACTGGACGTGCGGGCCTACCTCGCCTGACTACTGCCACTGCGCCAGGTACGTAGCTACTGCCGCTCTGTACTGGACGTGCGGGCCTACCCTCGCCCGACCTACTGCCACTGCGCCAGGTACGTAGCTACTGCCGCTCTGTACTGGCCGTGCGGGCCTACCTCGCCTGACCTACTGCCACTGCGCCAGGTACGTAGCTACTGCCGCTCTGTACTGGCCGTGCGGGCCTACCTCGCCTGACCTACTGCCACTGCGCCAGGTACGTAGCTACTGCCGCTCTGTACTGGACGTGCGGGGCCTACCTCGCCCGACCTACTGCCACTGCGCCAGGTACGTAGCTACTGCCGCTCTGTACTGGACGTGCGGGCCTACCTCGCCCGACCTACTGCCACTGCGCCAGGTACGTAGCTACTGCCGCTCTGTACTGGCCGTGCGGGCCTACCTCGCCTGACCTACTGCCACTGCGCCAGGTACGTAGCTACTGCCGCTCTGTACTGGCCGTGCGGGCCTACCTCGCCTGACCTACTGCCACTGCGCCAGGTACGTAGCTACTGCCGCTCTGTACTGGACGTGCGGGCCTACCTCGCCCGACCTACTGCCACTGCGCCAGGTACGTAGCTACTGCCGCTCTGTACTGGCCGTGCGGGCCTACCTCGCCTGACCTACTGCCACTGCGCCAGGTACGTAGCTACTGCCGCTCTGTACTGGACGTGCGGGCCTACCTCGCCTGACCTACTGCCACTGCGCCAGGTACGTAGCTACTGCCGCTCTGTACTGGACGTGCGGGCCTACCTCGCCCGACCTACTGCCACTGCGCCAGGTACGTAGCTACTGCCGCTCTGTACTGGCCGTGCGGGCCTACCTCGCCTGACCTACTGCCACTGCGCCAGGTACGTAGCTACTGCCGCTCTGTACTGGACGTGCGGGCCTACCTCGCCTGACCTACTGCCACTGCGCCGGGTACGTAGCTACTGCCGCTCTGTACTGGACGTGCGGGCCTACCTCGCCTGACCTACTGCCACTGCGCCAGGTACGTAGCTACTGCCGCTCTGTACTGGACGTGCGGGCCTACCTCGCCTGACCTACTGCCACTGCGCCAGGTACGTAGCTACTGCCGCTCTGTACTGGACGTGCGGGCCTACCTCGCCCGACCTACTAGTACGTAGCTAAATTATTATTATCTGTTTCTAAAAAAAATTTGATTTATCCTTATACAATCTGGCTTGATTTCGGCTTAATTACTAATCTGCGAAGTAAGGTTTAGATGGCCTAGTGTGAGTTTATTTCAAATGAACTCGATTATCACGTTAACCGGTGCGATTGATGAAGACTTCACTAGATCGCACTAGGCCCTCTGAATGCAGAGCGCGAACTCATCCGATCGAAGCGCGATATAATGAGCGAGCAAGTTTGGCTGATATTAATTCGACACATACCTTGGATCATATCAAGGCCGAAACAAAACATTCGGTCCGTCTCTTAAAATTACTTTAATTCTTATTTTACGTAGGAACATTAAATTTTAATCCTGTGTTTGTGAAACTCCGAAATTAACCGTCTAATAATATAATTGTGAATTAATCACAAATATGAAACTCACACATTTTTTTCTTTTACAGATCTTACGAAAAGGCGTACCAACATCTTCTCCTATTTGTCTTCAATTACGGAATTTAGAAAATTATTTCGTCTTCATACATTAGAATTGGGTGTGTAGCTCATATAGCATTAAATAGAATATCTTCATAAGTTTAATGTACATAAATTACCTAATATTGGCCTACATTAGATGTACGTGTTATTTATGAAGTACTATTAATTATATTTGCTAAATACAGTAAAGGACTAGTGAGAAACTAACTTAAGGCTTCGAATATAAAGGGAACTTTAAATGTTAAATGTACTACAGGTGATACTTATTCTATGAAACAGCCAAATTAGCCCAGATCAGTCGTAATATCACCTTCTTTTTCGTTTGATTATGTTTTTAACTAATAGAAATCACATCAATTATATTATATTTATGTATATATTAACCAATAAAAGTAAAATCCTAACTGAAGTAACCGCAGTTGTGCTCTATCGTCAAGTAAAACAAGATATATAAGTACCTAGATGTTAGGATATAAAAATTATAAAAACAAATAAAAGTTTTTTAATATAACTCTAAGAAAACAAAACAAAAAACTTTAAAAAATGGTTAAAACAGTGTCAAAAAATAAAAAGCAATATTTTGAATAGATGTAGCACAGAGTTTGTAATAAAAGTTTGTGACTAGTCTGTAATTCTGCATGTTTGTCACGTACATTTATAATAGATTAGAATACGTAACTTCTTTCCACTACTGTAGGTGTAATGATAGTTAAAATACCCTTTGAATTAACCGGCTCGTCTACACTAATAACTGTTAATATAGAATGTTTTTGATTCTGTGTCAACACCTTAATGTGATGCAAAATTAAAAAGAAAAGAAAGTTTAAAATTATGACATAATTTGGCATCAGTTTCTAGGTCCCTCAGATTTCTTAAAAGTAAATGGAAAATACATTTACTCGAGTCTTGAGAAATCTGGAAAAGGACGCGAGTTACACCTTATTGTGTAAGCTTCGAAAGGCTGCTCGATTTCCATAAGGCGAGCACAGTTCACTACCGTGAAATAAAGATTAGTTTCGTAATTATTTTTATTCTACTGATGTGCAAAGATACTTCTGATTAGTACTCATACCTATTTATACTTAAAATGGATCCAATCGAAATCGTTGTACTTAATTTATTTAAACAAAATGAAATTATTGCTTTTAAACTAAATTTAAAACCATTCTTGTATCTATTAGTAGTATAACTACAAAATGTGTTGTAACGTGTTGTTCAATATTTAACGAAGGACAAAGTATAGTTGAAAACAAGTCTGAACATGTTTTATCTGTCTCATTGTAAAAAAAAAGTATAAATTTGTTAATTAATTTCATGTGATATTGGCGATATTCGTTATTTTTATTTCGATGTTTTATTAAAATGTTAGGCGTAATAAAGTCAATTTACTTTTAACTCTGTTATCTAAAGGAAGTTACTTAGAGAGCTGCATCGCTGACCTATCAAATATGAAATTAAGGGTTTGTTTAAAGTTTGTTTAAAGATTTTAAGTCAATGGAACAAATTTTTACAGAGATTGGCGGCTACAAACATACGTAAGTTGATTATTTATATACCGACTGTCCCTACGTATAAGGTCAAAAGTCTGGTTTACAGGCAAAAAAAAACAATCTCATTGCTTGTACCACTCTTATCGTTTTACAACAAAACAAGCTAATGATAAAATTAAAATGCACTTTCAGACATAACCTTATATACGTACGGAAGGTCGATATGTTGTTATTTGAGTGTCTCGTATGTGCCAATTCTATTGTCACTGCTACACTTCGGTAATATCGACACTTACACAATCTGTTTAATTTTAATGTATCATTAAATGAAACACAATATTTATTTCAATAATATTTTTGTTTTTGTGACATAAAAAGGCAAACGACTGGTCTGGACCGGTCTGGACTGGACTGGTCG